TACGTCACATATACACACACACACACACACATGCACACGATTCGCGTGGCGTGAAGGCACGAGATGATAAGTCGGCACGACCGCGGAATATCGGCTCGTCGATTTGTCGTGCGCGGAGGTACGCGTCACCGCACGACCGGTAATCGCCGGGTATTACCTCATCAGTCCAGTAAAGAACGTAAAAGGCCGGCCGCTTTCAGCGATGACGACACCGCCGGCCGCGCGGCGAGTTCGCACGCCGAAAAGCAGCAGCGTTCTCGCAGCGGCCGCGATCGCCGCCGCCGAGGATTATTTTATCGACGTGCAGATTATGCAATCGCGCGCGCCGTTGTGTCCTGTTACCTGTAGCGAGTCGCGGAAGCCACCGCGAAAGAAAGGAGGGAAGGAAGCCAGCCCTGTGCGCGCGCGCTCTCGTAGTGGAGCTCATTGTACGATTATCAAAGCTGAGTACATTGCAGTCTCTCTCCGTTCTGTCGTGAAAACGTTGGCGAAACGCAGCGATCGCTCACCGGGTTCACCGACGGCTTCACGTACTTCGCGGATCGCGAACCTCGGATAATTGCGAGACGGAGGATGTGATAACCGCGATGAATCTCGCGTTGCGATACCCGGAAGAGCGTGATCGTGGTTTTCTCCTGGTTTTATCATCGCGGTCACGCGGTGAGCAGCGGCCGCATCGTGGACGATGATAAAGGTGAAATTGAGGAGCTGCGCGTGAGATTAGCCGAAACACGATGAATCCGGGACTTGTATAATTCACATTCAGAATCGTTAGCATTTTCACGGCTGTCTTGTTGTATATGTACGTTTCAAAGTATATCTCGAATCGAGTCGGAATCTTCTTCGCCGTGAACAATTTTCACAATTTATGGTTTTGTTCGCGACTCGAAATTTTCGCACCACCAATTTTGCGCCGTCGTGTTTAACGTATGCACTGTACAATTTTTGTTTCCGCCAGGGATATCGAATTACCGTGGAATTACGTGTGATTACTCGTGGAACGACCGATATAAAACGCCCGGCGCGGCGCGGTGGATATCCGAGGCGCGTTGCGCCGCGCGGATTTATCGTTGCGTATCTGCAGCGGAGCGGATCGTGTACCTGTTTGAAATTGCTAATAAGAATTACTTTTTTCTCCTCTCTCTCTCTCTCTCTCTCTCTCTCTTTCTCTCTCTCTCTCTCTCTCTCTCTCTCTCTCTCTCTCTCTCTTGCTCGCTCTCTCTCTCTCTCTCTCTCTTCTCTCTCTCTCTTGCTCGCTCTCTCTCTCCCTCTTGCTCGCTCTCTCTCTCCCTCTGCAGATCACGCGAAGTCGAACGTTATTTTTCCATACTACGCGTTTCTTTCGTTTCTTATCATCGGTCGCATCTCTCGATCGCTGATTCGCACGGCCGAACGGGAAGCGTCAAGGTGTTGTCGCGTTATCTAATCGCCACCGAGGGGCTTGTCGCCTCTCGATAAGTCGTCCGATCTTCTTACCGATGTTTGACCTGGCTACGTGAGTACCGCTGTTGCGGCCGCGTCATTAAGAATACGCTAATCCGCATTATTGTGCCGCCGGCTATTGCTGCTGCTGCTGCTGTCTCGTCGTCGTCGTCGTCGTCGTCGTCGTCGTTGTCCTCTCTCGCGCCAAGAGCTCCGGAATGTTAACGACGTTTTGTGTAGCGGCGCTGATTCCGTGCAATTGAGGCTGAATTACTGTTTGTCCAGTGCCTCGCCGAACGAGGCTACGATCACGCTCGAGTTGCAGGCAACGATGCAAATTCTGCGTCCCGCGGAGCGTGTCGGTCAGGGTCGCTTACGCGCCTCTGCTTCGGCAGGCTCCTCTTTTTTTTCCCGCGGGATATTTGTTTTACCGCGTCTTGCGCGCGCGCGACTGTGTATCCCGCGACTGTAATATCCTGTTATTAAGCAACGCACGCCTTGTCGCGCTATGCGCGCTCCGGAGAGACTCGTGTGACGACCAGCAGATGTGCTAGATTCTGAAATCTTCCGCCCTTCCTCTAGTGCTTGTTCGAGCGACCCCTAAGGTCGATCATAATTCTTTCCTCCTGGCGTAAAAACTCGTGAAAAATGTTCATTCCCGGGCGTTCTCACATGCCTGAGAAAATTCTGGAAAATTTTAGGGAACATACACGGTTATAAATTCGGAAATATTCTGATGAAGACGATAAATTGGATTATTTCTTAGCCGATCCTCGATGTTTGAGGTGATAGTGTCCCTCCAGGTTCGAAAATACTCGCTTTTCACGAGCGCACGCTTGAGGAAACGATCCACGGTCGAAATTAATATTCGAACAAGTCGAGTCAAGGATCAGGTAAAAAAATGATCCAGATCTTTTTGCGTCTCTGTATATTCACAATTATTGTATGTCAATTTTCAATCCGGTATTCTCTTTCAGTTCTCAGTGCTTGTCTCTTATGTTACTGCAATTCCGGCAAGGAAGCTTCAAGTAATTTGTACCGAACATCTTTTCGCCTTTCTCTCACGAGCGTTATAAATCAATTGAATTTGCGGTGCAAAAGTTGGAACGCTCTCTCGGCGGGTGTCCCGACGTTCAATCGCGAAGCTTGAAACTTCTCGACGCGTCGTGCCTTCGGCAGGAAATCGTCGCGCCGCGAAGTTCTCCGTGGATTTGTTAGCAACAAATCGCCGTTCGGCACATTTGGCAGCGGGCGAGAGACATCGCGCGACTCTCGCGAACTCGTATTTCTGCGCGATCTATCTTGAAGAGAGGTGAACGACCGCTGGATGAAGCAAAATGCAAGCGCGTACATACGGAATGCGCGCTTTGGCCGAGCCGCGACTCGCCTGCAAAACGTTACGGAATCACCGTCGTTTTACATAACGTATCGCTCTCGCGGGGATGGACAATGCGTTAGCGCACGCACGCACGCACGCAAGGCCCAGCGCGCGGGTCATTACGAGATAATCGCGCGCGTAGGACGCGCATTCGTGACATTTTCGCGTGGGAAATTGCCGGCATTATCGCGAACGCTTATGCATCACAGCGTGTTTTCTTTTCCGCGGTGGTTCCTGTTATTTAGGGACTCCCGCGAATTACCCCGCCCGCGAGAAAGGGAGGTACGCTAATGGCAAATAAACGTTTACGTCACGGAAGAAAAAAACTGATCTTTGCTCGCGAGCATTAAGAAGAGAAAGAGGAGGAGGAGCAGGAGGAGGAAGAGCTTTTACGAGGAGGAGGCCTTGCGCTATTATAATCATTACGAGATCTTTTACCTCGCCGTTATTTTTTACTTCTTGCGCAACACTTTTCACGCGAAAGGGGCGTACGTGAGGCAACACGCTATTTTTATGAGTGGAGCTTGCGGCTTACGCGCGCTCGAGGTATGCACCCTCTCTCGTTATGGGATTCAAGGATGATGTTGGCGCGGGCGGTGCGCTCCGCCAAGAGCTATACTACCGCCGGTGGTTCGGACAGAGGGAGGGGGAGCACCCTCCAACCGACGACACATCGTACATTTTTGTTCCTCATTAATAAGGAAATCGTAAACGACGTGTGCACTGAGGCGCGCGTACGGCAACCCTCGCAGATATTGATTATTTCTCCGCGCACGGCACCCCCAGGTCTAGACGGGATCTAGAAGTAGATATACCGGGTCGACACGCGACCTCCGCTATCCGCGCTATCGAGATCGTAGAAGAGTAGCAAGATAAGTCGCCCCGTGGGCGCGCCCTTGTGATTATTCCCCCGGAAAAAAAAATTACATATAATTTTATATATATTTTTATATGTGTATATACATTTTTATACAGGGTGTTTCGGACCACCCGAGTCACCCGATTTGTTCGTAAACGCGACATTTTAGAGAAAAATGTTTCAGACAAAAGTTGTGGGGCTTCAAAGAATCTATTTACTGATGGTATAAATTTGGTGACCTTGGGATGACCTTGAAAAGCCCAGTCAAGATCAACATAAAAATCTTAAATGAAAACTCCAATTTTTTATTACACCGTCTTTTTCCACCAATTAATTTGAACAACTTTTGTCTGAAACATTTTTTTTATTTTTTTATTTGTCTGAAGCATTTTTTTATTTGCCTAATATTTTTTGAGATATTTAAGGATAACTTGGTAACTTTTTCAATATTTAACTTACGATATCTCGCTAACTGTTTGTCGGGATAAAAATGATACTAGATTTTTCTATTCTACTTGGTCTCAAGAATATATTGGTACAATAATGCTCTATTTTTTGTTAATTTATCGATCTTTCGAAATTTCAAAATCATGAAATTAACAAAAGTCAGCGAGATATCGTAAGTTAAATATTGAAAAAGTTACCAAGTTATCCTTAAATATCTCAAAAAAATATTAGGCAAATAAAACAATGTTTCAGACAAAAGTTGTTCAAATTAATTGGTGGAAAAAGACGGTGTAATAAAAAATTGGAGTTTCCATTTAAGATTTTGATCTTGACTGGGCTTTTCAAGGTCATTTCAAGGTCAAATTTATACCATCAGTAAATAGATTCTTTGAAGCCCTACTTTGAAGCCCTACAACTTTGAAACCTTACAACTTTTGTCTGAAACATTTTTTTTTTGTCGCGTTTACGAAAAAATCGGGTGACCCGGGTGGTCTGAAACACCACCCTCTGTATATATATATATATGTTTTTAATAATTTGGTGAAAACAGATGGTATTTTAACTCTCTTAAGGCTCGATTTTGGGAAGGTAGGTACCATTTGTTTTTACCAATCTTTACCAAGAAGCTGCTCTCGAAGAAAAACATCCTACATATATATTTTTTTTATTTCTATAATATGATGCCTACACCTATGCGCTGTAAATAACGAGAATATATATATCGATATCTGTGAAAAGCGGGATGCGACAATGCCGTGTTTCGCAACACGGAAATAAGATCGATCGCCGATCGGCATTTCTTTGTCGTCGTACGTTACGTTACGTAGCAGGAAATGCGCTTTCTCTATCCTCCATTTTACCATTCCGGAGATCGAACTGTCCGTTTAATTTCAGATTCACGCGCGAATAGAGCGGAAACATGCCGGAGGAACAGAAAACCGCTGGTGCTCCAGCAGAAGCAACGGCGGAGAATGGGACCGGGACGAACTCGCCCACGAAGAGTCCAGTTAGCAAGGGAAAGATGGCCCTCGCCAAGGTCACTTTGCTGGACGGTACCGTTAAGGATTTCTACATCGATGTGAGTCGCCGGAGAGTTCGGCTTGTATTTGCATGAGATAGAAAAAAAGAAAAGAACAGGACGAAAAGAAACGTCTCCGTTCGATGCGTGATATCGAAGGTATCTCTGTTCGGTTGCAGAGAAAGGCGAGGGGGCAGGAACTTCTCGACATGATCTGTCAGAGTATGAATCTGTTGGAGAAGGATTACTTCGGCCTCATCTACGAGGACAGGCACGATCCGCGCAATTGGCTGGACCTGCACAAGAAGATCGCGAAATTCGTGAAAAGTATGAGCGCCACGACGACCACGCGCCGCGTCGTCCGCGAAAGTCGATATTACACGCCGCGGTTGATTCCCACTAAAGTTGATCCGTGCTTTCAGACGAGCCGTGGAAGTTTAACTTCGAGGTGAAGTTCTATCCACCGGACCCGGCGCAGTTGCAGGAGGATATTACGCGTTATCAGTTGTGCCTGCAGATCAGAAACGATATCATCACCGGACGTTTGCTCTGTTCTTTCGTGACGCACGCTCTTCTGGGCTCTTACCTGGTACAGTCAGAGGTCGGGGATTACGATCCCGAGGAGCACGGAAGAACCTACTTGAAGGATTTCAAATTCGCGCCTAACCAGACGCCCGAACTGGTGGAGAAAGTGATGGACCTTCACAAAACGCATAAGTAAATTTCGCTTCTTTGAGTAGTATCCTTTTGATCGGCGTAAGCGAGGCCAGCGGGTCGATGTGTCGACCGACGATCGATTTATTGCATAGCGAATCTCTCGCCGTGTTCCAGAGGTCAGACACCCGCCGAGGCGGAGCTGCATTATCTCGAGAACGCCAAGAAATTGGCTATGTACGGCGTGGATCTCCACCCGGCCAAGGACTCGGAAGGCGTCGACATAATGTTAGGTGTTTGCGCTTCGGGTCTGCTCGTCTATAGGGATCGCTTGAGAATCAATAGGTTCGCCTGGCCGAAGATACTCAAAATCTCTTACAAGAGACACAACTTCTACATCAAGATCAGACCGGGCGACTTTGAGCAGTTTGAGTCTACGATCGGATTCAAGCTGGCTAATTATAGAGCGGCGAAGAAATTATGGAAAGTCTCGGTGGAGCATCATACTTTCTTCAGGTGAGCGCGCAAATACCTGCAATCGAGATTACCTTATCCTTTCTTATTTATTCTTGCATCTTAACGAGACAACTAATGTTCTCTCGTTCTCTCGCAGGCTTATGAGCCCGGAGCCTGTGAAGAAGGTGGGATTAATTCCACATCTGGGATCTCGTTTTCGATATTCTGGCAGAACTCACTACGAGACGAAGAAGACTCCGATCGACAGGCAACCTCCGCAATTCGAGAGGTCCCTGAGCGGCCGACGACTCGCCTCCAGAAGCATGGATGGTAAATACGTACCTTTTGTCACTCGTGAATGATACTCAAGCGTGAATGTACGAGTAAAGTAACGATGATCTAGTGGAGAGAAAGAGAAAGATACACTCTTTAATTGCTACAATTAAGATTACACATGTTCACACTCGCAGAGGGGTATGTCCGATTTCAAAGTCAGTTTTTTTTTTTTATTCATTAGGACCAGCTTGCACAAGCATGAGTTCTTGTTACATTAGAGTGGCATTACTCTTGATCTATGTATCAATTTTTTCTCAAACACGTCGTTTTACTCTCTGCAACGTTTCCAATCCGCTACGAGAGAGCCACAAGTGCCTTTTTTTACAATTGTACTCTCGGGTCTGTGTTATACTAAGATGTTGAAGTAGTGTGACTGCCTTGTACAGCATTAGGTGAGCCTAAACCAGTCGAAACGTATGGTTCAGAACCGAGCAAACGACACACCATGAGTTATGAGCCTGAAATGCTTCCCGACGATATAGAGCATATAGATCGACGGCCTAGCCCAATCAAGAAACAGAAAGAGAAGGTAATACTTACGTGTGTTTGTTGCCGTACATTTCTTCTTTTTTCATATTATATCAAGAATAAGTTGCTCGAAAGTAGAGTATGCATGAGTTCTTCATGCGAACGTGAAAAATTCACTTTATCATCGATGAAGGAATTCATGAAAGATGTGCGTGCGTCATCATTTCTAGCTCCCGTCTCTGCGGTCTACGCTTTCAAACTAGTTTTCCTCGCGGAAAACACGCGATCGGGAAATACACGCGCAAACGTTTGGCGCGCTGCGGTACATACTTTTCGCGATAATAATTCAACGGCGCGATTATACGTGCGTCGAAGATTTTTGCGAAAATTTCTGTTACGGAGACGAGGTCGGAACACCAGTTGGTTCGCATTCTCTATTAATGCGTGGGTGAATCAATAGAGCAAATTACACACTTTTCGCACATTTATATACTAATGTCATGCCGGTGTATGTATGTGGTGTGTGTGTGTGTGTGTGTGTGTGCGTGCGTGTGCGTGTGCGTGTGTGTGCATATGCGTGCGCGTGCGTGCGTGTGTGCGTGTGCGTATACGCGCGCCAATTTACAGCATGTTCATTGACTCACCCTTGCATATTGCGTTACATTTCTCAAACTGTACGTCGATTTGGATTTGGCATATCGAGTCGTGACGAAGGCATGACACGATGTGTATGGTGCATAAAATATATCAGGTGCGAGCAAAGTCGAGCTCGGTTGTTACAAACGATATTCTTACTTAGAGATGAAAGAGAAAGAATAATTTAACTTTGCATCGAATACTTGTGTGTTAGCCTTAATTATTAACCGACACGTAACTGACACCAATAGCTCACACGAAAAACAAGTGCGGGAACAACATCAGCTAGCAGCACCAGTAGCCTGGAAGGAGAATACGATGCCGACCATGGGAGAAAGGTATAGAATTTTACCCCTGGGACGCTTCTGCTAACAATATATCCTAAATATACTCAGTGCTGTGTCTTGTGTGTGACCATTTGGTGTTTTACTTTTATCCAATGCATGTCTCACCACATATACACATACTTTTATTTGTACTCCACGCAAAATTTCATACGGCCATCGCCTCAATGTTGATGGATGTTAGATCTCCCGTTTTAACGTGTAACATCAAGCAGTTCCGCTGCGTGAGCATGGATAAGAACTTAGTGGACTTAGTTTGTCGTTGTAAACGTCCCCGCGAATTGAGAGCCGAAGATAAAACCGCGCTCTCTTTCTCTCTGTAGTCTCTTACCGTTAGACCCCAAGACGAGGAAACCACTCGAGTATGTTAGCGTGACGAACCGTTAAACGTTAAACAGAAGTCCAACGTTGCGTAACACGGGCGGATTTGAAAGCACGCGCGCGCACAAATGACGACGATTGAGATACATATATTTTGAGAGCGCAGACCGTAATCCACCGAGCATGCGTTTGCATTCTACCATCGTAGTGCCGTCGTGTAGTCTGTATTAATTATTTTAGCGACGTAGTGGCTTTATGCTTGTTGCATGAGGCGTCCTGTGACCGGATTAAATTTACTTGTAGAAACCGGTCGGTGGAATCGCTGTCCTACCGCCCGGTGGTCTGTCAAAGAAGAAGAAGGATAAACAGAATGAGAATGAGAAGGAGAATCATAATGATCTGAATAATTCCGATCTGATTAATGACAATGCTCATCTTGACAACATTGATGACAAGTCACTGTCTAAAAAAGAGTCGAGAAAGAAGGATAAGGAAACGCCGGAAAAGATGGACAAAGAAAAGAAGGAGAAGATCAAGGTAAGCTTGTATATTGCGTTGTACGCGTTGCTGCTTCTTATGATCTTACGATGATATATATATTGAAAGTATATTTGAATATATATTTACATATATGTGTGTGTGTGTGTGTGTGTGGTTACAGTCGAAAAGTTTTTAAATATTTCGTTTCTGTGTAAGTAATATATCATGATATACACACTAGGGGCTCTCACGTTATATCACGTCATCTCCAAACATTGATCGGTTCGGTGAAGTGCTCTGTGTCAAATCAGAGCTCGATAACAAATTAAAGAAGTATCCTTGAATGCGCTGCATATTACCTCTTAATTGAATGCATACATGACATGTCCATAAATTGAAGTATATGCATGGACATTAGTTCGTGCCTCCGCAGGAACGATAGACTTGCATTTAATATATGTAGGCGCGTTTATATATCCAGCTTTATCCATAAATGTAAAATGCCTTTCGTGTTTTAAATTACATATCACGTACGCATATTAGCATGTTATATTTTGTACTGCATGTATATTTTTATATATTACCTCAAGAGTCCTGTCGGTGGTTTCCTGTTCGCCAAGAAGGACAAGGATAAGAAACAGAAAAAGAACAAAGAACTAGACGAGTCCATGGAGAAGAGTGACGCAGAGTCGAATCTTTCCACGTTGGAGAAACAAGGAAAGGAGAAGGGCACGGAGAAGGCGAAAGAGCCCTTGAAACTTCCTCAACTACCCGTTTACACGAAACCTTACGACTACGAGGAAACGGAAGCTTCGCCCACGAAGAAGCCATACACCCCGCACGGATTCTCCTACGAAGATAGACCCGCGTCCCCGGGAGTGCAAGACAAACAGTCGCCCACTTCGGCCAGCCGAAAGGCTACGGGATTGGCGTTCAACTACGCCCCGGGAGAGGAAAAGAAGGTCGCAGAATCCGCGGAGAAGAGGAAAACGAAGGAAGCGGACAAGCAAGCACCGCCACCGCCACCACCGCCGCTGACAGCAACAGCAGCAGCGGGCTTGAAGACCCCGGGACTCAATTATGTAGAATCCGCTGGCCTGAAGGAGCAGCAGAAAAACATCACGCAACCGGACGTTGACAAGGATCCCACGACGGCCTTCATCAGCGGAGAACGTCAACACGCCATCGAGGATGCCGCCAGTCAGTCGAAGATAATCCCGCCTGCGCCGGTGGAGTCTAAACCGGACTACCACATCTTGCCCCTTCCTGACGGCTCGAGGGTGATCGCGGGTGTGATTTATACCAAAGAAGGCAGGCCGCTGGATCAAAACCACCTCGGACCGGACGGCAGTAGAGTGACGGACGGCAAGGTCTGCGGCAAGGACGGTAATCCGCTGAAGAAGGGCGAACTCGGGCCGCACGGGGTGCACATCAGCAACGGCCTGATCACCGGTAAAGATAACAAACCTTACCATCAGCAGATCCTCGGCACTAGCAGAAACTCCATTAAAAACGGCCTCATCTGCTCTCCCAACGGCGAAGCGGTAAAACAGTCTCTCTTGGGACCCGATCACGCGATGATGAAGGAGGGCAAGGTGTTATTGAAAAACGGCAAACCGGTGCAACACTGTCCACTAGACGCGGACGGCACATACGTGAAGGAAGGTTTGATATTCACTTCGGGTTCGAAGCCGTTGACGCAGGGATCGTACGGCACAGACAACAGTTACATAGTCGCCGGTATAGTATGCAACGAGGAGGGCAGGCCTCTTCAACAGATCGCAGTTGTGCCGGACGACACGTTCATCAGTGACGGGCTGATTCACGGGCAGGACGGGCGACCGCTCAGCACCGGGAAACTAGGCCTCGACGGCCATTACATTGCCGAAGGCAAGGTCTACTCGAAGGACGGCAAGCCGATCAAGCACGAATCCTTCAGCTCCGACGGCTCCAACGTGAAGGACGGTGTGATCTACTCGAAGGATGGCAAGTTCTTGACCCAGGGCTCCCTGTTACCGACGGGCGCTCACCTGAAGGACGGTAAAGTGGTCGGCAAGGATGGCAAACCCGTGAAGCACGCGTATTACAAGCCGGACGGCAGCTTCGTGAAGGACGGTGTAATACACGGCAAAGACGGCAGGCTGCTCAGCCAGATACCATTGATAGCGGACGGCACTTCCATTAGGGAGGGACTGCTATACGACAGAAACAACAAACCGCTGTGCCAAGGGCTCTTCAAGCCCGATAATCTCGTGATTAAAGACGGAGTCTTATACAATGCCGACGGCACAGTGCTGTCGAACGCGATTCTTGGTCCCGACGGCTCGCTTATAAAGGACGGCATGGTGATCGGCAAGGACGGCAAGCCGATGAAGCAGGAGTCGTTCGGCTCGAACGGGAGCTACATTAAGAAAGGCGCGATTTATGCGAAGAACGGCAAGTTGCTCAACCAAGACTCTCTGATCCCCGAAGGTGCCAGTATCAAAGACGGCAAGATTCATGGGAAGGACGGCAAACTGCTCAAGTTCTCGTTCTTCAAGCCAGATGGTAGTTACGTAAAGGACGGCCTCATCTACGGCGGCGACAACAAGCCGTTGAACCTGAACGCCGCTTTGCCGGAGGACAGCTTCATCGCGAACGGTGTAATCTTCGAGCACTCCGGCAAGCCACTGAGCAGGGCAACCTTTGGCTCCGACGGCTCATACGTCGCCGGCGGGCTGATTCACGGTAAAGACGGCAAGATCGTGCTGCAGGGTGTGTTCGGTCCAGACGGCAACACTATTCGCAATGGCGCCATCATAGGCAGAGACGGCAAGCCGTTGACGCAGGACGACAAAGGCCCAGACAACATAGCGGTGAGCAACGGCAAAATCGTGGACCAAGCAGGCCAACCGCGGAATTTGCCGTCGTTGGTGCCCGAGGGTTGCTACATTCAGGACGGGGTGGTGTACGACAAGAACGGGCAGCTGTTGAAGCAGGGTGCGTTCAAACCGGATGGCTGTTATGTCCGCGACGGGCTCGTACACAGCTGGGGCGGTCAGCTGCTGAACGCCGGCTCTGAGTTACCGAGCGACAGCTACGTCGAGGAAGGCAGGATCTACGGCAAGGACAAGAAGCCGCTGAATCATGCCGCCTTCGGCATCGAGGGCAGTTTCATCGAGAACGGCGTGGTTTACGGCAAGGACAAGAAGCCGCTCAGCCACGGCACCTTCGCCGATGACGGCAGCTACATACAGAACGGTCTGCTGTACGGGCCGAACGGCAAGCCGCTGAACAAGAGGCGGACCGTCATCACCGTTACGAAGGTGCGTTACGGTCTGGTGTGCGGTGACGACGGCAAGCCCCTGAAGTCCGGTAACTTCGACAACGAGGGCAACGTGGTGCGGGACGGCAGGATCTACGATCCCACCGGCGAATGTCTTAACCAGAACATCTACGGACCCGACGGCGGCTTCATCAAGGACGGTCTGATTTATAGTCGCGACGGCAAGCCGTTGTCTCTGGGCGCCTTGCCGCCCGAGAGCAGTTTCGTCAAGAACGGCAAGATCTATGACGTCAGCGGCCAGCCGTTGACCACGGAGGCCTTTGGGCCGGAAGGCTTGAGGGTGGTGCAGGGTGTCGTGGTCGACAAAAGCGGCAAGCCGATGAAGCAGGCGAACTTTGACAACGAAGGGAACGTGGTGAGGGACGGGATTATCTGTGCGACGAATGGCAAGCCGCTCGACAAGTATTTCACGACTATCACGATCACGATGGTACGCCGAGGATTGCTGTGCGACAAGGACGGCCAGGTGATCGCGCGGGCACCGTTCGGCGGCGACGGTGGCTACGTGAGGGATGGCAAGATCTACGACAAGTATGGCAAACCGTATAATCAGGAATTGTTCTTCGAGGACGGCTCGTACGTAAAGGACGGCGTGATCATCGGGAACAACGGCCAGCCGGTGGACAGTGCGACATTCCCGAAGGACTTGCAAGAATCGAAATCCGCGTCGGCGAAGCTGAAGAGGCCTCCGGTCCCGACGACGATACCGACGATCGTGAAAACGACGACCAAGCAGTCGGTGGTGAAGGACCAGGAGGGTGTGACGCAGAATATTCAGGAAAAGATCGAGGATCTCACGCCAGGTGGCACAGGCCAAGTCACGGTCTCCACTCACGTGAACAAGGTGATAACACTGCGAAAGAGGGGGAGAGCGAGTGTGTAACGAGAGAATAGAATCCTTAGACGTCGCAATACATTCATCACTTCATCAGACGAGAGTTAAAGTCGGTAGAGCGGTAGATTTCAGAGTAACGAGACAACTCGGGCATCATGACACCGCAAACGTGGTGTTGTACATTTAGCGAACGAGTAGATGGCCTCTCGCATGCTCATAGTTACATATAATCGGCCTGTTCGGAAATTCGCTCGTAGTGTTTTTGTGTCGAGTATCGGTACTCACAAGCTCGCTACTGAACTTTCCGAACAGCTCGATAGAGTTAGCCACCGATATCTCGTGGAATTTTTTTTTATTTTTTTATTCTTTTTTTTCTTTTTTTCATTTACGTGTTTCGCATTCGAGTATATTGCATGAGAGCGAGTAGTATGTTTTTGTCTAGGATAAGTGTGCGTAGTTGCAGTCGAATTTCAATTTCGCGGTAGTCGTATCAGCGAAAGAAGTTAATACTGCTCAACGTTTTTCGCAATAGACTTTGATCGTTCTGCCAGCAGCATCTGCCATTCTCACGTAATTTTAGAATGAATGCAAATACATTTCTCAAGCTCGCACCAATCGATTCTTCCTCGTAACTCGATAAACATCAAATATCAGTAACATTGTTACACGGTGTTTTTAGTAGGAAGATACGATATAGCGCGTAAAGATATTCTCATTCGTTCGAATTTTTGCCAAAGTGAATGTTCCAATCAGTGATCAAGTAACTCTGTCGTGAGAATAAATTGAGAAATCAATAATATATGTGTTAAACTAAATACGCCAAGTTGATTTGGTTGGAAGATCTAGACATTTGATTTTCTATGTTATATTTTTTTTTCTATTTATAGGAAGATTTTAATTTATTCATAATATTTTCCCAGGAGTGATTGAAGCGCTTTAACGACATGACAGTTTTTTGAAAAAAGTTAAAATTTAGATTGAGAACACATGTTTAGAAGAAATATGAATTGAGCCGATTTACCAAGGAAAATATATGCGGCGATTACTGATCGGGACGTCCGCCTTACTTAATTTTTGTTTGATTATTTCGATCTTGTATGTCTTGAAACCTTAGTCACGTGGTAGTTGTATTTAGGCAGAGGCACCGGATGACGGTAGAGCTCCATACATGACAGCGACAGCTGTCACCACGCGCACCGCTACCATGCACGAGGACCTCGAAAAGAACCAGAAGACAAGCCAGGTTTGTGATCCAGCATTATTAGCATCACTTCCTCGAGATACCGACACGCGTTTCTTGCCGTTGATTTGCTGAAAGCTACGTTGCGTACGCGATAAAGGACAGAATTTTATTATCATTCGCGAGCTCTCTCTCGTTTGATCTTTCCTTGCTTTGGCCTGATTCTATCTTCTTAATTTGCTATTACAATTCATTGTTCATGCATTAGGTAGAGGAAAAGACTGTAGCGCATACGACCGCGACCAGCGCGACGAGGCAGGAGCAGCGAGTGGTGACGCAGGAGGTTCGAACCACGAGCCACGTGCTCTCCGGCGAGCAGGTAATTGCCGACAGGCATTCCCCGTTCTCTGGGGAAACGCGCATACTAAGATTGACATATAAGCACGAAGCATGTGAGCATTCGTGCGAATTGCTGCATCGGTTTCGAGATCTCGGTCTAACGATCATTTCACATTTCGAAGCGCCCTCAGTTCATGTGTAACTATGCCCCGCATACATAATGATCATTTCATGTATGGATACGTAATAGGCACGCAATAAGACAGCTTCATATGTACAGATACACGCATACATCATTATTGGGCGTTAATTGATCAAGCGCCTTGTAGCTTGATTGAAATAATCGACAAGTCAATAAACGAAATTAATCGATCGTCACATATTGTAATTGTTTATAAATTTATTTACTAATTATGTAATTATGAATAACTTTGCCGACTCGTGAAATAAATTACTAATTAACTAATAGTTAATTATCAATTAATTATTAATCAGTATATAATCACTAAAGTCAAAGCAAATCAGTATACAATCAATCAAATCAAAGCAAACGAGAAAAAACAGTCATGATACGATGTAATTACGATTTATTCGGTGTTACGATTTATTCGGTGTTAAGATTGATTCATTTTGGTCGATAAAATGTTTTTCCAATCGATTAACGCCCAACACTGGCATACATGCGTATTTTGGAGACTCTAAGTTTGAGTATTTTCTCGTTTTGAACGATTTGGTAATCGCCTTTTTAATGCTTCGTTACACGCGCGTGCTATTACTTACGGTGTCGTAGATTGACATTCGCATAAGATCTGTTCATTCCGCGCATATAAAACAGCATAAGAAAGCGTGATATACATATTTCATATATAATTTTAATGTAATAATTTTTACTTTCTCCCTATCTCATTTATGTCATTTATACATACAAGGTGTCCCAGAACAATCACGGTATCAGAGCTCGTAGAAGCCCCTCGTAAAACGGATTAAGGCGAACAAAAAAGTCCCGTGCCGTTTTGCGATATTCGCAATAATTATCGAGTTTTTAATTACAGAAATCTGACGAGTGAGCGCGCGCCGAGGTGGTATCGGACGAGCGTTACAACCGCTCAGGCCACAACGCGGCCCAGCACAAAGATCTAGCACAAAGACACTCTGGCTGCGTTTCGATATTCATCGTCGATACTGAATATCCATAGTATACGTGACATAAACTGTAGAGTTACAGTATTGGCAGTGCATTTCGGAATGCAGCCATAGTATACGTGGACCGCGCGTTCTTCCAAATCTCAAGAATGGAGGTAGAGCTCACGTAGGAAAAGGATGCATTCTATTTTATGTTTGTGCACACACACGAGAGAAGGGAAATAAAGAGTGGCAATTGCGATATACTATGCTATGGCAACTGTCTCCCCTTATTTCCCTTTCATCCAGACACAAAAGAGAGTGCATCCTTTCCTATGTGAGCTCTACGGGCTACTCTTGAAATTTTGGGAAAACGCGCAGTCTAGGTATACTATGTCTATGAAGCGTCTCTTGGAATCTGGTCCAATCGCTTTTCTCGGGCTTTTTTCTGCTATAATTGATAACTCGACGATTATCGCGAATATCGCAAAACGGTATGGGACTTTTTCGTTCGCCTTGATCCGTTCTACGTTTCCACGAGCTCTGGAACGATTATTCTGGCCCACTCTATGGTATATGGTATGGTTTATTTCGTTCCTCCTTTTTTTTTTCATTTTTTTGTCCCTCGTAAATAATTTCGACGGCTTGGGCTAACACGTTGCATGGCGCGTAGCTGTTCTCACGAAGACTAAGTACGTCGAGCTCGAGCAGCGGAGATTCAGGCACACCGATCGATCTCGACGATGACCAGCAAGCTTTCTACAATCAATATTATCAGGTAATCTATGAGAAAAAGAAAGTCAAAGAAAAACCTACTGTCTTCTTCTACTACTACTACTACTACTGCTACTACTACTTACTACTACTAGTACGGAGCGGAAGATTGTGTGCATGTTTAGAAACAACAGTGGTAAACCAGGTATTCCTGCCCACACAAAATTATACAGTATCTTAAATTGGCGGCTGACTTAATGCAATGCATCTACCATTGAAGTATCCTTTTCTTTCCACCCGTATCTTCTTACTGCACGGAAATTTCTTTAAAGAACTGTGTTACTTTACATTGTCTCGCGATATTCAACAGCAAACACAGAGAACTGTCTTGCGTCTTTTAGAGCACTTCCTCAGGTATATAAAGATCGGAGATATCAATATGTATAAATTGCAAATTGCAAATGATGTGTATACGAACAAGATATGAGATTGATTCGTATTCTATACTGTCCATCTTTTGCTGTATCTATCCACATATCTATCTCTCTAATTTTCAATGATGTATCCAATTAACGTTGTATTGCAACTCGTCGCCTTTATCGTCCGTTGACTTCGTGGAACGGAGCCCGAACTAAAGGCTATCCGAATAATTTTGATTCAGGGAGATCCAGCCGGTGTGATTGTAACTGAGAAGCACGTTTACACGGGCGAGCCGGATAGTAATGTGACGACGACGACTACGGTACCTGTAGTGGCGACTGAAACAAGAAAAGTAGCTCTCGAGAGCGAAGACGGTAACTATAGCGCCACAGGAGAGATCGTCAGTACACAAACCATATCTAGTAAAACCCGTACTGTCGAGACCATCACGGTTAGTACCACACCTGATAATTATGTCCCAAGTGAATCAGTTGTCATCTCGATGCAATTTTTTCATTGACTCACGTATTTGGTTACAGTATAAAACAGAGAAAGACGGCGTAGTTGAGACGCGAATGGAACAAAAGATAACGATACAGTCGGACGGCGACCCGATCGACCACGATCGAGCTTTAGCGGAGGCGATACAGGAAGCTACCGCTATGAATCCGGATATGACGGTGGAGAAGATAGAAATACAGCAGCAAACGGCGCAGTAATGAATTCCAACAAAAGGACAAGAAAATTATTAACGTATACACATTAACAAGAAAGGGCACTCGGTCTAAAAAGAAAAAAAAATATACGAAGGTATCGCGTAATCTTAGAAATTGATCTTAGGAAGAGAGAGAAAGAGAGAGAGGGAAGGAAGGGGGGAGGGAGGGGAGAGAGAGAGAGAGAGAGAGAGAGAGAGAGAGAGAGAGAGAGAGAGAGAGAGAGAGAGAGAGAGAGAGAGAGATTGGTATTTACACTACGTATTATATATGTATATTGTGCACGCATCTCGCCATGTGTGTGATAAAAAAGAAAAAGTCAGACTGAAATATATGCTAACATCAATAATTCTATAAATATTCTATCGGGTTAATATATTGAAGCAAGGAACAATATTAAGCTTTATACCTTTCACCTCGTACGGGTCAAAGAAAATTTCTGCTTACGGCTTGCCGCAACGCGACTCGAGCTTAAACTCGATTGAAAATCGAGTTTGATAGACTGTTTGAACGAACGAAGCATCGATGGAATCCTTTTAATGAAAAGAATGGTACCTCGTACTATATAAAACTATACAGTGTTCATATTGAAATGATTAAAAGAGTGTGTATTTACATGTATGAGAGGTCGAGAGAGAGAGAGAGAGAGAGAGAGAGAAAAATAAAAGCATTATACATATAATGTATACATAGCCACGTGTATGTGTATATAAACGAACAAACTATTTATAGTTATGGCGATAACTATAGATAATGAAAGACGGGGTGCCCTGCAACTTAAAGTTTCGATAATAAATATTTCATAGCAGTAACAAAAGAGAAGTGGTTATATTAGTCATTACATACAGAGATTATCTGAATATTACGATGCAACAATGATTTGAGATTTTGCAGCAAGGTATAATTGTCAGAAATGTTCCAGATTGAAATATTAATGTCGAGATATCCCTATAGAGTCAGCCAAACTTACTGAAAGCATGTTGGTCCCACTAAAAACTGTCTGAATTTTGTCTTGATGGAAAAGAAGGGTAAATGAGAACTCGTTACTTTCTCTCTTTCATCTTTGAACGGAATATATTATACAAGTTGTTAACGATAAGTGTGAAAAATATTCTGGTTCATGATGTTCGTATGAAAAAGCAAATGAAATATATGCTATGATGGGTTATACATATTATATATAACATAATTTTATCGATTCGTTGAAAAGAGAGCTCCTCAAAGATGAATCGATAGAAAGTAAAGTTTTGCAAAATTTATGCAACAGTTGAGCGACATATGTAATGTTCATCATAATGCTTAAACACAAACAAGACGGGCTTTTCTGCAAAAGTATCTGTATAGTTTGACTGTCTGTGAAATTGGTATTTGCTTTCCAAATGTTTATTCCATAACATTGTACGACAAAGTCAGAGAATCATCTAGATATTGAATATATTAATATATTAATGTATATGTGTGTGTATATATATATGTAATATATATGTGTAATATATGTGTATATATATATACACACATTTATATATATTGCTAACTGAGACAAAGATGCATGAAATCGTCATAGTTTCTTATACCTAAAGATGTTAATGTTAGCTACTCTGCGTTAGAGAGAAGATACAGAAAGATATTACGTTGGTGACGATGACACTGTATCGTTTTTCATGTTGCAGCTATATAATAAATATGAGAGATACAATATTAATGGAGAAACTATGTAGATTTCATTTCGATTAATATAACAACTAATATTAATAGGGGCTCATAAAATTATATATAACTTTATACCAAGGGCAATGATGCATTGGTCAGCGTATATGTCTAAATTTAGCTGTAGCTTGTGTAGTTTTAGAACTACAATTTTACATGAACATGTTCATTAATTTAGCGACTTGCGTTCCATCATAACTTACAAACGCTGTCTGAAATAAGCGAAACAGGTCGAGCAGAAAGATTTTCATAATGAAAAACGATATATTTCAATATTGCAGCTTTATTTTAACTTGTACAACTGATTTTAAATGAAAAGGTTAGCATACAAGAATCGCATTTTACAAGGCTTGCTTATACCTTTGTTCTTTAATGTATAATTTTCTTATTGATTATTAATAATATATACTTTAGATTTCGTTCGTTAAATACATTGCACAGATATTTGGATTAAAAACGTAAAAAGAAAAAAAAAAGATGAAAAATATATAAAGCATTTTTAAGCTTCTAAATGAAGGGTCTTTTGCGTATTTTTTTACTTTTTATACATTTATACATTTTTATATTACATGTGAATTATTCTGCACATCTTCTCCAATATTTCTAAGGTACATAATTTGAAGAAGCGTTCTGTTTCAGAGTTTGTATTCTTGCCTATTATTTTTGTTATTTCGTTTACAGATTCCAGAAGTTATTTATTCTATGTTTACAGATAAGATGTTGATTAGTATCTCTTTTTATTTAAAATATATCTATATTTTATTTTTAAATGCTGTCTTACATTGTATTTTGCCTTATTATTGAACAAAGGATAATCACAGCCCGTTTATATAAGAGATTTTATAATAAATATGTAAAATGGCCGCTTGCTCTGTTATATATCGTCGAATGATAAGTTGCTTGTGTGCCACAAAATATACATGAGTTTATTACATCTTACAACAATTACTTTTTAGCATAAGATCTACCTCTATATGCTCTCAAGGCAATGCTATATAATTTCATGATTCTTGATCGTTACTATGTAGAACGATTATCCATTTTTTATATACTCACACAGTGCCAGATCAATATGTGAGTCAACATCATGTGAGTGACAACTTCTCTCAACATAAGCTGCATATCACTTTTTTGGTTTACATTTTCCTCATATAAGCGAATAAGACGTTTATGTTTTTTTTTGTATTGTACCTAACATTCCATGCTTTCAGTGACTAACATATATATATATGTATATGTCATGTATTATTTTTTTGTTATTTATTCCGTCTTTTTAAGATCATTATACTTTTATGTTTAAGCCTGCTTGAAGAATACGCGCATATGCTTATGCAATAATAATTTAATTCAAAATCGGTAAGATAGAAAGATACATTTCTGACAGTGATTTTTCAAGAGTACAAGCTCTTCATTAAGTTTTAGCAAATCAGTTTATATCGCAATCATGTGAAACGCAAGCTTACAATGTACAGATCTTCAAGCAGCGTACAAATATAGCTCATAAGTTTATATATTAATATTTCCGTTGTTCAGTTATTAGAAGTATTATCATATATTTAATAGAAAATAGTTACCTAACTTCTCTCTTTCTCTATCTCATTCATATATATACATGTACACATGCGCGTACACACATATACACAAAACTAATCATATTTTCATTGCGTCTAAAATTTTTGTATCGCGGATTTATATGCTAACGTCTATTTGTAACTACCACAATTTTACTCAATATACATACATCGCAGTTAATTTGACTTACGTTTGTGAAACTATTCTTAAGTAGAATACACGAAAGTAATGCAAATGTAGCCTTATCGCTAGAAAGTTCTATAAAAATGGTATCGTAACTCAAATCACCGCTTGTTGCGTATCATTCTTCAATTGACGTATTTCTCCTTCGAGACATTTTTCGCTTCACCACGGAGTCGGTAAGAAAAATTAGAGGGGCGGTAATGCGATTGCTTTGTTATTCACGAGAGAGCGTGTTAACCGGGTCTCCTTGTTTTTAGATACGTTGCTCCAGAACGGTCTCGGTGTCACATGATTGTCTCTGACACTTGTGATGCCGGATGCTAACATCGCACAGAGAAAAATGTATCATTGATTATGCGAACGATAATCTTTCGTTGTCTTGTTATACCTGATTTCCAAGACGGGAACACCTGCAATTGATTGATCTCCATCGATCCGGGTGTGATCTTTACGGATAATTGCGGGCCGGGATGCTGAAAGATCGCCCGTGAGATAGACCTCTTGAAAGCTGGCGGCAAGTTTAGAGAATCTGTAATATATTTCCGATTAGTGTAGCTCTTTTTTAACGACATTACTATTCAAATTTATAGAATAGATCTACCACCGATCGCCCGCGATTATCCAGGTATTTTCTTGAAATATTTTAGAAATATTAAATGAGAGACTGTCCAGACACATACATACATACATATAAGAAATGCACATGAAATCAACATTTCAAGATGTCAATCTGGTTTTCTTTGTTTGTCTGGGTACATACTTGTTATATCATCTCCCAGCGGTGTTTTGGTCGTCCTCCTTGTGCGTCGATTATGCTTCTCCATCTTGAATCTTCTTAGGAAACTTCGGCAAGTGTCTGTTACAATTTTCCCATCGAGATTAACTGTTCACAGAGCGACAAATTAACGTTCGAGCGATTAAGCGCGATGAAAGAAAAAAATAGAAAACGATTCATCTATATGTACCTAACGAAGTGCTATTGGCGATCAGATTCTCTCTGTACCTGTAAGATCGTACAACCGGATTGTCTCGCAGAGTCAAATCCTTCAAAGACGTCAATGTGCTTACTGTCGCGCTCAAATCGTCCATGCTTGCTATGAGATTGTGCCCCGCTTCCAATGTATTTAATTCGTGAAAACCCGCTAGGTCTCCCAAGGATGTCATCTTATTATCAGAAATATCGAGAATCCTCAAACACATCTAAACAGAAAGAAATAAGGGAGATGCGTTCCACAGGATTTCAGTCTTGGCGAGAAGCCTTCACACTGCATTTACAGATAAAGTGAGAGCGCTGCGTGGCTCGAAGCACAACGATTCGCCGGGTGGCATCCTTTGACTTTCGATATGCAGCTCTCGCAATTGCCTCAGATTTTCCAGCCCCTCGACCACGACGATATTGTTGTGCCCTAGATAAAGTTTCTGGAGGTTCTCCAGAGACTCCAGATTTTCCATCTTGATTATCGCATTGTGTTGCAGGTACAAATGCGTCAGGTTGCAAGCGACATGGAGGTTCTTCATCTTGGATATATTATTGTTTTGTAGATACAACACTTTCAGGCTTTTACAGACGTCGAGGTTGCCCTGCGATGTAAATGGGAGATTTTGTGTCGGCTATGGACCACATGATTCGCATCGAACATGCCGATTAGCTTACGATACTGCTGATAAACATGTCGTTCATGTGCAAATGAGTCAGCTTCTGCAACTCCTCCTTCTTCATCGTCTTGCTGAGTGATTTGGTGGTCAATATTTGAGAACATTTTCTCTCGATGACATCCGTCGTTAATTTCACCATGATTGCGGGAGAAGTGTGATTAGAGCAAGCAAAGCGTTGCTAGCAATCGCGCATGTGTATCGATCAAACGCTGAACGTAACAATGATACGAAAATGAATATGTATGCGCATACACTGGTCAAGTAAGTACGAATTTCGCATTGCAATTTTATATAAAATATAATATATAAGAAAAATAAGTTTTATTTCAATCAGAGAATTGCACAAATTTAATGATACATTATGCTTTTAAAAAGTAGTTAAAAATTTGTTAAATAGAATTTTTACTCTTTTAATACAAGAATATGCTTCCCATAATCTTCTGTATCCTTTGAATTTCATGGTACAGATTTTTCAATATCAATGAAATTCTGTAAATGTAAAAATAATACATTAAACTGATGTATGAAGTAGCATAACAACAGATCTACAACTTTACGTACTTGCAATCGTATATATTCCCTTAGACGATAAATCAGATTGCGCAATTAAAATAATTTAATTGATTACCTCTAATACACATTTTCTATCAGACTCATTTAAAAACGGCAGAAGGAGTTTGGCTACAGACACCACTTTGCATTGGATGCAGTTCCTCACGATAGTGGAGAAATCCAATTCGTGCGCTATAGGACACGAGTACAATAGGCGAATTGCCCTCATGCAATTCTCGGTTTGCTCCGTACTCGGGATCACTTCCATTTCGCTGAACGGCTCGGAGATGATCAATTGCCATCCCATTCTGTAGCCGTTACAATTCATCATGACGCTCTGACTTTGTCCTTGCAATAGGATTCTCTTCAACTCGCTTGTCTAAAAGCAGATATTCAATGTAATCTTCGAGGTACAGCAGGGGGCATCGGATCAATGAGATACAGCCTCGATATACCATTCTTAACTTCGTCATCTGACTTAGAACACCATCCCAAAGCAAGATGTCGTATATTTCAAATTCGATGCAGATTTGCGTTATAACAGAGAGAGCGAACGGCAAGTGGCGCTGACTTTTCCACAATATCTGAACCAGCTCTCGTTTCGAGCACATTTGAAACCTATCGATATTGTAATGCAATCCCAGCGACTCCAATTTGCTGATGTACTGCAACGACTTCATATATTTTCTGAAACAAGTCGATGAAAAACGATCAACCTAGCATAATTTGTTATACTTGTGCAGAAGTTTAATTTAGCTTTAAGTTCAGACAAAAACCCGTAGATTTGAAGCAATGTGTCTGCACCTGAAGCTACTTATATCCCGTTCAATCAGCTTTTCTAGGGTAGCGGTATCAACGATTGTCTGTAGTACCCGAAGCGCTCGGTACCGCATGTCACAATCGTACTCAGCCTCGTCATGGTGATTATTGAAGCCTATATTAATCAGAAATTGTGTGAACAGCATGTCCTCGTACTCGAGCATGTAGGATGCCCTGCAAGTAAGATAAATTGGCGATTTAAAGATGGATAATAAACGAACGAAAGAGAGACGATACATTGACGCTGAATTACCTGAGCAAATTGTCCTCGCATTCTGTGTTCTGCTCGGGTCTCAAGGTCGGTAACGTTTCCGTGAAGCTCTGCGATAATTCGAGCGCGGTGTATCGAGAGTTCGATCGCAGCCATTCTTGCAACAGTTCCAAGCGTAGCTTGATCGTGTTCAAGCAGAAGAGCTTGCAGAGCTCATCGACGGCAGCGTTGATGTCGGGCCTGTGGTTGGTCGCAGTGCGATATCGTGACGGTATGTTCTCGTCCCAGTACAATTCGCGCACCAGCTTGCTCGGGTTCTCAATCAACGCGAAGTACTTGTCCTTCTCCAGACCGTGCGTACGCAGAATATGCTCGGATGAGAACCTCAGATACTTGGATTCGATTTTCTGAAGACCAACCAACGATTAATATATTGTTTTTTATATATTTATATATTAATGCTGTTTACTATTATCTAGAATTATTTTCCTCGAAATAATAAAAATACATGGCCTGCGGAGATCACCATACTTCCAACATTCCTTCTTCGAACTTGGTGGAATTTTGCGCCGCCAACTGAGCGTGCTTGTAACACTCCTTCGCGGCGGCGACGCGATCCGCACCCGGTGGCGTGTGGTTGACGACATAGTACAACGCCGCGGTGCCGTAATAGTACCCGTCCGAGTCAGTGATTCGTTGTATGCATGTCTTGATACCCTCCAGCAACGTGACGTTCTTCGGATTGAGCGACCATGCTTCGTCGTTCGTCGACTCGATCAAATTATTTCTCCAGACGCGCGTCACCTCGCCTTTGATGGCCAGCGTGCAGATAAGATGCGTCTCGAGATTGAGGACCGGTGCGATGTCCAACCACTTGTTGTATGTCCGTAAATTTAATTCGGGCGCTAGTAATAATAAAGCAGATAGAAATCGATTGAAGGCAGTTGTACATTCATTAGTTAAATTTCATTTTTGAAATATACGCACTGATAAGCTTCCAAAAGTCAACCTTCAGCAGGAATGGTAGCCTCCATTGAGCGATAGACGGCAATGTGCTGTGCTCCGGGTTAAATTGTATCCATTCGTTGTGTTCCATGGGCGTAGGGGACCTAATGAATGTAAGGTATAAATATACATTGAGAAGTCAACGTCAATAGATGCTGAATTGTAACTTGTACTTGCCCGCTACGTGTATAATTCTGCAAAAAACAGAGATAATTCCTCTTCTTCATGTCTCTGTCTCCTATGAGATCCATCAGAATGATGAACACTTCGTAGTGATAAAAGTTGATCTAAATTCAAACGCGAAAAGATTTGTATCTCCTGAAGACATAACCATGCGATATTTTGATCTTTAATATCTTACGCGTTCCCACGACATAGAGACCCATTGCTTCAACATATATTTGTCCTCAATTTCCACAACAACCGTCTCACATTCTCTTCTTAAAGCATCCACTTCTTCGTTAGAGATGAGTAATTCTATAAATGTTATTCGCGATTAGAAACGATCTGTCTACACTGAAAACACTTAAGTACAAAAGTAAGCATTGGCAGAGATATACACATTCATATTATTTACCTTTCTTTACACTTGAGATCGTTATCGTTGGATTCCACGTTTTCAATAATTTTTGCAAGTAAAGCAATAGACAATCGTTGACATTGAAGCCAAAAGTGCAGCAGTAGTCTTTTAGTATGGGAATCGTGTTCTTCTTACTGCTGCTTATAATCTGCTGTAAGATTTCCCTTTTACTCGAAGTGTCACTCGCGAAAATTTCTGTAAATGATACACGATATACAGATTATTTCTGCGATGTAAAAGTAGTTTTAACAACAATGTATGATACCTCTATAAGTTACTGAATAATGCGACAGTCGTTGCACCCAGACATGCAACAGCTTGTAATTATCAAACTTTTGTATCAACGAGCGATTTCTCCCCATGCGTGAGTATTCATATCCCAGAGTCAAGATTTTGGAGTGTCTGATGCGATCGGCTTCAAATCTGAAAATACGAGAGTTTTTATACATTATCTTATTAACAAGAAATGTATCGGAGACACTTTGATTTTCTCACGATGCGCAAGCTGTGGAGATCCAATTGCACGCCTCTTTATCAGGTAGGATGAAGAGACAAGCTAGTCCCAGGTGTAGATCAAAAAATCGTCCAGTGCACAGCATCCTCAACAAGTTTAACACAAGATGTGACAGTGTGGACTTCAGCTCTGCCAATGCATTTTCCTTTTTCACAGAAGTGCTACAATACGCGAAGTAAAATGTCTTGAAAATTTGCAACAAGGAGTAATCGTTATGTTGATGTTGCATCTCTTTCGTTCTCAACAAGAAGTTGCCCAGCAATTTGTCCACTTGTTCCTATGTACAAACGAAGTGTTAACGTGTCGCAAATTAACTACTTCCACAAACAAAATGTAACGACATCCGGAATACGTACATTGCAATTTGCAATTTCGTTATCGTCGACTCGATTCGAATAGTATAACTGAAGAGATATTGTATCCTTAAATAGAGATAACAATCTTTCGTCCAAAATTATCGCTTGATCTTTGTATATTGTATATAACTGCCAACTAAACTGCGGTGCGATTTCACCTTTCTCGTCGGAATAACGCCGGGTAGAAAGATTTGGGCACACGTTGACACAAGTGTAAAGTGATAGCGCAGCCAGTAAATCGCCTAAAATATTAATTCCATCAATAATGTAAAATTATTCATTATAACAGTCGGTGAAAATTCGATACGTGCTATCTCGACAAGTGTTCATCATCGAAACGCTCAAATTCTTGATTACTTCGACAGTGTCTGCGTTTACAGCAGCATGTTTCAGCGCGCGCAAGCATATCTCTTGCATATTTTCAAATTCGTCCGACGTCACACTTGGATTTTCATCGTCGTCGCTGCAAGATACAAAGTAAACACTAGTGGCTAGATAATATTGTACAAGCATGTAACTTATACGATGCTTTAAAATGCACGCTTACTCAATGAACTGCTGCAGTGAATCCGCATATTTCGCCTGTTTCAGCAAGGACAAGGTTGCGTGTGATTTTTCTAATCCTAACAGTGTGGCAACTTTCATCATCGTTTTGTGTATCACTGACAAATCACTTTTTTCGGCACCTGCCAAACACCACGAATAAATTGAAAAATATCGATTCATATGTGCTAATTAGATCTGTAAAAGATCTAATTAAAGTCTTACTCGATAGTAGTTTTGCGATGTACTTCTGCAGCACATGTGATTTTTGCGTACGATAACTTTTCCATGAAATTCCAAGGTTGTAATTCTTTCTCAGTAGATACAACGATTTCAAGTCTTTTATTGTATTGATGATATCATTGCCAAGGAAAGAATCAACTTTCGATTGGGTCAACAAGTTATAAATTTTAAACTCTAGGCAACCCAGAATTTCTATATGATAGCCTAAGGTATTCAGTGCCACGTCCTAAAAGTACGTATAAGCATCAATTAAGATCCCAAATATTTTATTATCAAAGTGCGTGTTACCTGAAAAGAGAAGGCTGTGATAATATAATTGACAATCCCTTCGTAACAGTATAAAACATCAGCAGTATTATCCTCCAAATGTTGTATTATATCCATTACTTTCTGCAAATTTCTGAAACAGATATATGCGGCATATTGATTCAATTGACATGGTTTCGTCAATAAGGAATTCTTTTTTATACAGATTTTAAATAGATAACAATATAGTACCCTTCGTTTAACCGGGCGCTTATACACCGACAAAAGGTATTTTGCCTCAATTGCTGGTCGTTTTTAACTAGCACATCTATGTCACTGATTACAGAATCGCGATCTTGTTTTATAATATATGATATTAATCTCTGAAACAAGCAATTGCGGTTGTTGTAATAATACGCAAATCAAACACATCACAACGTGCTGTTTGTACTAACATTATTTACACCAATTGTCGCATATCCGTATTTTTTTAGGATGAGTTTGATCGGAACATAGTCACGTTCGATTTTAATCTTGGAGGATAAATTGTGATCAAAGGTGCTGCTAGTTTCTGCCAGTGTACTTATAGTTGAGGTCCATGGCACTGACGCCCTCCTCAAAACCTCCAAAGTTTGCTTCAATCGATTCTGTAGGGCGAGTAATAAAAAATATAAATAAAATATTTCACAAATTATAATACGACCTAAGCAATAAATTTTATACTTACTTCTAAATTATATATAAAGTCTATTATAGTAGCAACTCTTTTCTCCCATATAGCTTCTTCACCAAACCACCAGTTACTAGAATACTTTACTGTTTTCTAAAAACAAGTAATATTATACACATTGAATATTATGAATCAACAGCTCATTATTGCATAAAATCCAATCTTTAATGGTCTTTATAATAATTACAAAAGAAGGAAATTAAACACACCTGTATGTAAGCGCAGAGGACAGAATCATTTTGTAAATTATTATTGAGCATGTATTGTCTCAAAAATATATTCATAAAATCGGAGATTTCATTCAAATGAACTTTGTCCAGCAACATATAAATTGCTTCTATGGGCGAATCAACATATATATTAAGAGGCACTCTCAACCTGTCGCAGAATCGTTGAAATACTTAATATTTCGCAATTCTTACGAGTTAATTTAAAATATAATTGTGTCACCGACCTGTAAGAAACTTTCAATTGTTGAATATCGAATAGAGCTTGGAACAAAAGCATGAATTGCTTCAGCAGCGAATTTTGATATTTGTACTCGTGATGGAAGTAAACAGACTGTTGATTGTCTTCAAATTTGAGCAACTTTATAAATTTGTCGGCGAAGTCCGTGCCAATTTCCGGCCACAATTTACAATGAGATATTTCGAGGTATTTCAGTTTCTTCAAACCCCAAGATATAATTTCGTCCATTGCGTCAGGTAACAGAGATAATACAGTGGGTATGAAATGCGTGAGCCATGACCATAAACATTTGTTTCGGGAAAGTCGTGCCAATTTCCGGCACAATTTACAATGAGATATTTCGAGTATTTCAGTCTTCAGATACGTATGCGTCACAGAATCTATGATGCTGACCATAAACATGACGGGGTCATGTCTTCGGGTAAAGTTGAAAAAATGTTCCGCACAGTTTCCACAGAAGCATGCTTTATTATGTTAGGAAAATGCCTTGTCCAGATTAAAGTGGCAGATTTTAATTGACCCTGTGGAAACATCAAGCATAACAAAAAAATATGATCATATTGTTGCTTCTAGATTACAACATTTATACGCCTGCACAATCACATACCATGCGTAAGTGAACATTAAATTCGTCTAACAAATTCACTTGCGAGAATTTTATCCACTTATTCATAATCGTGTCAACGTTCAACGACGTATCATTCGCCTCGTTGTTCTGGATCATTTGAAAAGTTTCGAGTCTGTGTAACGTATTGTTTATCATAAGTAAACTAGTATTCAGCTGATTATCCGCATTCCCTTTCTGCGATAGATATCATTTAGATACAGAAATAATGACGTATGTAATTATAAAAATGTAAGGTACCTTTATATCTTGCATTATTCTTTGACGAGCATATAAATATAATTGTTTCAACTGCACATAATCGGAGATAAGAGCTTTACTGCAACATTCGGTTATGTATTGCGTATTTTGCACTTTATCAAGAACATTTATCAGCGTTTCTATGTTAGCTGAATCGAGAGTAGATTTTGTCCAAGGTGCAAGTTGTTCCATAATTAATGCCGCTTTAGAACAGTGAATAGGTTCCATGGAAAGGGCAAATTTTTCGGCGAAACTCTCAGCTATATCAAATTGTCTTTTCCTTAGTAATCTCGCTAAACGCATCTCGGGAATGCTTTCCGATATCATTTTTAATCTGAATGTATCGATAACTCCATTTTCGGCTGTGACACCTTCCATGTAACATATGTTACTGGAATTGTGCAAGTTTTCAAACAAATAGGCAGTAATGGGAACGTTGATTTCTAACTTTTGCTCGAAATCTGAAAAGAAAAACACAAGTTAGATCACATACATACATAAAAAGCAAGAACATAAAACATTAAATGTAACAATAATTTTTGCCACCTGGATAAGAGACAAGACATAATTTATATGTGCTGTCAACGTTTCTAGATTGTGTTAAAAATAAGATTTCACAATGATCAACATTATCATGCTGTATTATTGTAAAGTCAAGCACTGGACCATCATATATTTTCAACCCAAGTAATGTATCCAGACATATAATGCTCAATGCATGATCTGTACGCAGACAAAGCACTTTACTGCAACAAAATATCTTTTTACATACTTTACGAAAAATATAAAACGAAAACGAAGGAATTCAGTTACTTTCAACACATAGTGAATGCATCCAGAAATTCAATTACTCACTTGTTACTTTTCAATTGTTTTATCTTTTTATATCCAAATGGAAATACATCGGTAAAGTTCTGTTGCTGACCAGGCCAAGTAAATATTGAATTTGTCCCAACCATGGTTATTAATGATTCTTCTGACGATGTATCTATTATTGCATTATGGAACTGTAGAAAGATCCTCATGTAAAATGATTTAAGCAATAGAAATATATTTTATACATGTAATCTTATATTCATTCCGAACCAAGTATATTCATATTAAATAAATTTCTCAATTCCTATTACCTCCAGACATTTAAATCCTTCAAATGACTGATGGCATTGTATATTTGCTTTACATTCTGCAGCTTCATCACTGTTAGAAGATGCAACCTCCACATCTATATGATGATAGTTAAAACTGCAGCTAAAATTTTTGAATAGTTATAAATCAAACTGAAATATGGCAGAGTGCAACACCAATACATCTTATAATACCTGTAAATAGCTCCAGTATTTGAAACAAGAATTAAAAATTCTTCTTTTCCTTGACTTTTGTAAAATATATCTATTATATTATCAGGAACATTAGCCTGGTTATTAGGTATATGTCTGTAACCAAGATTTATCAATCAAATAGCAAAATTGTATTGTTGATATATTATTTGAATTGTTGTTACTTCAAATAATATATAGTTAGTACTACTGAATATTTACATCATAGTCATTAATTTTTCCTGAAATATATGGAAGCAGCACAAGGTCCTGTTTTCAAGCATCACAAATAAGAAGGAACCATTTTTGGAAATGCAGTAACAGGTAATCAAGTGAGGAAAGCTGGCATTAAGAAGTACTTTGTCACATGTTTCATCTTGAAAGATTGTAATGGACTTGTCAATTGCAACAAAGAGTTTAGAATGCTGAATAGATGTCAAAACTTTTGGTATTTGTTCCACCTTATAAAAAAACATACAATTAATCATAATAGCACTATTCTATAATATTCTATTTATATTTCATCATATTTTATAATTATATAAAGGAAAAAAGAGACTTTACATTATTATATGATATATCAATAAACATTTAAAAAAAAATGGTGATTTGGACCACTATTTGTGACGATTTTCAAAAAAAAGAAAAATGCAAGTATCAAGCAATTTATTTTCAAACAGAAATAGTTTATATATCAATTGGTAAATGTAATCATAAATAAATTCACAAACTAAATTTAAATCACGTGCCAATATTACAAATTGACGCGTGCGCACTAAACACCGATTTAAATACATCTTAAAAAAGGAAACAATATCGTAAATAACGATACTAATACGCGAAAAGATTTCGTAAATTCTAGTCACGAGATCAGCGTCGATCCTCCCGATTAATCTCTTTTAATTAATAATCATGACCTGTCTTATCAATTGGCAATATCAAAGTTGGCATGTAACCGTCCAACAAAACGAAGAGTACCTGTTCACGGGACTGAATCGTCGCCACGGTGCATGCTTCATACAACGAACCATTATTTTCTGCGATTATTCGCGTGCCGAAATTGACAGTTTCATCGTCGAGATTGAAACCTGACAATATTCGATCCCATAAAGTCATCTTCGAGGATTAACGAGGATCAATCGAGATTACCTCCAATCAAGCGCCAAGATTGAAATGGACTGAAATATAAAGCGTCATACATAGTACAATCTACATAGATAGGCGAAGTCACAGTAATATTTTCGCCTCTATGCTCTACAATGTCTCCCTCCAGTTATGAACTAGTCGGATGGCTGAGAAAAGAATCGGTAATGTTGGTGATTTCTAATTATCTTCGAGTTTCCCGCTTACTTTGTAATAGTTCAGAATTTAACACAGCATGCGCATGGTGTTACATTGTTTAGAGAGAAACCTGAGAGTGGCCACGCCAGCGTTTTTGGCGACATGAATTTTGATGACTGATTTTAACGCCATCTGCGCCCATTTGTAGCCGGGAACTACGTTGACTACGCCCATTTGCAGACGCTGCCGGTAAAGACGGTATAGCTCTATTTGGTGCGTGTCCACACACACACTCCCATCCCTCGCTCCTCTTTAAATCTACTTTACAAATATCTTATATCTACTCGCTCGCTTATCTCTTATAATTAATTGTCCGCTTATCATCTATTCTTATATATATGTATATATCTATATTTCTATGCCGCTGTTACTCCTATAATTCTTATTTCCTACTGCCGATTTTTGCTTTCCTCCATTCGTTCCATTCCTTCACACTCTCTCCTTCGCTCTCTCTCTTATCCTTTTATTCCCCCTCCTCCTACCTCTCGCCCCCTCCCCCAACCACCTCTCTCATCCTCCTCTCCCACTCCCCTCTCCCTCACTTCTCCCCATCGTGCACGATCAATATTTGAATTATTCATCAAATTAATGCGGATAAATGAACGATTCGTATCAATTTTTTCTTTTCTTACAGTACAATGAAAGAGTAAATCAGTACCGAAAATTGAATATTGATTATTATCATAAATCAGCGTCAGAAAATTGTCCAAGTACAATGACAATTTGATCTTATTTTTCAGGTACTTATCCTTTTAATTTACTCAACAAATTAACTCTGTTAAACGAACAATCCGTATTAATTTTTCTTTTCTTATAAAGAAATGAGAGAATAAATCAGCACCGAAAACCGAAGACCGAACAATACCTAATTTTTTCATCAAATTAACGCGGATTAATGAAAGATTCGTATTAATTTTCTGTTTTCTTGTAGAGAAATGAAAGAGTAAATTAGTACCGAAAATCGAATATCGATTAATATCATAAATCAGAGTCAAATATTACACACGTGCAATGACAATTTGTTCTTATTTTTCAGGTACATATACCTCTAATTTTATTCAACAAATTAACTCAGATAAACGAACGATTCGTATCAATTTTTCTTGTCTTATAAAAAAATGAGAAAATAAATCAGTACCGAAAATCGAAGACCGTTCAATATCTAATTTCTTCATCAAATTAACGCGGATAAATGAACAACTCCTCTAAATATTTTCTTTTCTTATAGAAAAATGAAAGGAGAAATCAATACCGAAAATCGAATACCGATCAATATCGAATTTATTCATCAAATTAACGTGGATAAACAAACGATTTGTATCAATCTTTTTTTCTTTTATAGAGAAATCAAAAACTAAGTCAGTATCGAAAACCGGATACTGATCAATACTATAAATCAGCGTTAGAAAATTGTCAAAGTACAATGACAAGTTGTTTTCATCTTGCAGGTACTTACCCCACTAATTTACTCAACAAAATAAGTCGGATAAAAGAAAGATTCGTATCAATTTTTATTCTCTTATAAAGAAATTAGAGAATTAGTCAGTACCGAAAATTGAAGACCGATCAATATTTAATTTATTCATCAAATTAACGCGAATAAATGAACGATTCGTATGAATTTTTTTTTCTTATAGAGAAATGGAAGAGTAAATCAGTACCGAAAATCGAATATCGATCAATACCGTAAATCAGTGTCAGAAAATTGTCTAAGTACAATGACAATTTGTTCTTCTTTTTCAGGTATTTATCCCTCTAATTTACTCAACAAATTAACTCGGATAAACGAACGACTCGTATCAATTTTTTTTGTCTTATAAAGAAATGAGAGAATGAATCAGTACCGGAAATTTAAGACTGATCAATATTTAATTTATTCAACAAAATAACGCAGATAAATGAACAAGTCGTACCAATTTTTTTTTCTTATAGAGGGGTGAAAGAGTAAATCAGAGTAAACCGAAAATCGAATATCGATCAATACAGTAAATCAGTGTCAAAAAATTGTCCAAGTGCAATGACAATTTGTTATCATTTTTCAGGTACTTACCGCTCTAATATTATTCTACAAATTAACTGGGATAAACGAACAATTCGTATCAATCTTTTGTCTTTTAAAAAAATGAGAAAATAAATCAGTACCGAAAACCGAATATCGATTAATGCCATAAATCAATGTCAGAAAATTGTCCAAGTGTAATGACAATTTGATCTTATTTTTCAGGTACTTACCCCTTTAATTTACTCAACAAATTAACTCGGTTAAACGAGCGACATGTATCAATTTTTCTTGTCTTATAAAGAAATGACAGAATAAATCAGTACCGAAAACCGAAGACCGATCAATACCTAATTTTTTCATCAAATTAACGCGTATAAATGAACAATTTGTATCAATCTTTTTTTCTTTTATAGAGAAATCAAAGACTAAGTCAGTATCGAAAACCGGATATTGATTAATACTATAAATCAGCGATAGAAAATTGTCTAAGTGCAATAACAAGTTGTTTTCATCTTGCACGTACTTACCCCACTAATTTACTCAACAGATTAAGTCGGATAAAAGAAAGATTCGTATCAATTTTTATTCTCTTATAAAGAAAGTAGAGAATTAGTCAGTACTGAAAATTGAAGACCGATCAATATTTAATTTATTCATCAAATTAACGTGTATAAATGAGCGATTCGTATGAATTTTTTTTCTTATAGAGAAATGGAAGAGTAAATCAGTACCGAAAATCGAATATCGATCAATACAGTAAATCAGTGTCAAAAAATTGTCCAAGTGCAATGACAATTTGTTATCATTTTTCAGGTACTTACCGCTCTAATATTATTCTACAAATTAACTGGGATAAACGAACAATTCGTATCAATCTTTTGTCTTTTAAAAAAATGAGAAAATAAATCAGTACCGAAAACCGAATATCGATTAATGCCATAAATCAATGTCAGAAAATTGTCCAAGTGTAATGACAATTTGATCTTATTTTTCAGGTACTTACCCCTTTAATTTACTCAACAAATTAACTCGGTTAAACGAGCGACATGTATCAATTTTTCTTGTCTTATAAAGAAATGACAGAATAAATCAGTACCGAAAACCGAAGACCGATCAATACCTAATTTTTTCATCAAATTAACGCGTATAAATGAACAATTTGTATCAATCTTTTTTTCTTTTATAGAGAAATCAAAGACTAAGTCAGTATCGAAAACCGGATATTGATTAATACTATAAATCAGCGATAGAAAATTGTCTAAGTGCAATAACAAGTTGTTTTCATCTTGCACGTACTTACCCCACTAATTTACTCAACAGATTAAGTCGAATAAAAGAAAGATTCGTATCAATTTTTATTCTCTTATAAAGAAAGTAGAGAATTAGTCAGTACTGAAAATTGAAGACCGATCAATATTTAATTTATTCATCAAATTAACGTGTATAAATGAGCGATTCGTATGAATTTTTTTTCTTATAGAGAAATGGAAGAGTAAATCAGTACCGAAAATCGAATATCGATCAATACCGTAAATCAGTATCACAAAATTGTCCAAGTGCAATGACAATTTGTTCTCATTTTTCAAGTACTTTAATCTTATTCAACAAATTAACTCGAATAAACAAACGACTCATATCAATTTTTTTCGTTTTATAAAAAAATGAGAAAATAAATCAGTACCGAAAACTGAAGACTGATCAATACCATAAATCAATGTCAAGAAAATTGTCCAAGTGCAATGACAAGTTGTTTTCATCTTGCAGGTACTTACCCCACTAATTTACTCAACAAATTAAGTCGGATAAAAGAACGATTCGTATCAATTTTTATTCTCTTATAAAGAAATTAGAGAATCAGTCAGTACCGAAAATTGAAGACCGGTCAATATTTAATTTATTCATCAAATTAACGTGTATAAATGAACGATTCATATGAATTTTTTTTTCTTATAGAGAAATGAAAGAGTAAATCAGTACCGAAAATCGAATATCGATTAATATCATAAATCAGTGTCAAAAAATTGTCCAAGTGCAATGACAATTTGTTCTCATTTCTCAGGTACTTACCCCTCTAATCTTATTCAAAAAATTAACTCGGATAAACGAACAGTTCGTATCAATTTCTTTTGTCTTATAAAACAAAGAGGAAATAAATCAGTACCGAAAATCGAGGACCGTTCAATATCTAATTTTTTCATCAAATTAACGCGTATAAATGAACAATTTGTATCAATCTTTTTTTCTTTTATAGAGAAATCAAAAACTAAGTCAGTATCGAAAACCGGATATTGATTAATACTATAAATCAGCGATAGAAAATTGTCTAAGTGCAATGACAAGTTGTTCTAATTTTTCAGGTACTTACCCCTCTAATCTTAATCAACAAATTAACTCGGATAAACGAATGACTCGTATCAATTTTTTTTGTCTTATAAAAAAATGAGAAAATAAATCAGTACCGAAAACTGAAGACTGATCAATACCATAAATCAATGTCAAGAAAATTGTCCAAGTGCAATGACAAGTTGTTTTCATCTTGCAGGTACTTACCCCACTAATTTACTCAACAAATTAAGTCGGATAAAGGAACGATTCGTATCAATTTTTATTCTCTTATATAAAGAAATGAGAGAATCAGTCAGGACCGAAAATTGAAGACCGATCAATATTTAATTTATTAATCAAATTAACGCGGATTAATGAACGATTCGTATGAATTTTTTTTTCTTATAGAGAAATGAAAGAGTAAATCAGTACCGAAAATCGAATATCGATCAATACCGTAAATCAGTGTCAGAAAATTGTCTAAGTACAATGACAATTTGTTCTCATTTTTCAGGTATTTATCCCTCTAATTTACTGAATAAATTAACTCGAATAAATGAATGATTCGTATCAATTTTTCTTGTCTTATAAAGAAATGAGAGAATAAATCAGTACCGAAAATTGGAGACCGATCAATATTTAATTTATTCATCAAATTAACGCCGATAAATGAACGAGTCGTATCAATTTTTTTTTCTTATAGAGGAATGAAAGAGTAAATCAGTACCGAAAATCGAATATCGATCAATACCAGAAATCAGTGTCAGAAGATTGTCCAAGTGCAATGACAATTCGTTCTCATTCCCGAGTCTTTCCCGAGTCGAAATATTAATTCTACATTGATCCTGCAAATTGCATCCAATTTGAAAAATCAGTGCAGAATATTTAGATGCGCAATAGTGAACAAGCTTTGTCCTACCTGAACGTTACAACTGGCTACTCTCGCAGTCTCGCCCATGATGAGTCTTCAACAGCGACGTATTCCGCAGTTATTTAATACTCGTTTATCTCGATAAGGTATATGTATTTAATCCTTATATTCTTAATTTAAATGAGCAATTCTTGTTGATGTTGATTATATATTCGCTTAACAGCGCAAGAAAGAGAACAAAGATAAGAACGTAAATAGAACTGCCTTTGTTAGAACTGCGCGTGCGATAAATATATAAGGATTAAATAATCATATAAAAATTAGAGGAAATGGGGAGATGAAAAACACTTTTAATTCTCATCATTCTTAAAGTTTTTTTTCCTTTTTTCTTCTCTTTTTTTTCTTTTCTTTTTTCTAATGAGAATGATGAGAATTGTAGCTCTCAAAAGAGCTGAAGCTGCAAAAAGACAACGGTTATGCCTAATAATGCTGTTTCACTAATAGAGATTTTAATTCAGATTCGGTACAATAAGAAAGATAAACAAGAATGAGAAACGGACATTCTAGCAGATTCTAAACGAAAACAGCAATCTGAGCATTATTAGACAAATAAAAATCAACACTTGTAAAATTTATATCAAATTCTAAGATCATTATTCATAGTTTTTTAAATTATGTGCAATTTTTCATTGAGAACATAATTACAAATTTGTATTCATAAACCTTAGCTTGTCTCAGCAACCTTGCTTGAATAGACATTCATATTTTATGAGAAAAGAAAAGTAGAACTGATGTTACGTGAAATTAGGTTAACGAATAATCAAATCTCAAGCTATTTTATCATTTTTCAGATAATAAACTATGAATGCTGATCTAATTTCGACTCGGGTATGTCCTTACTTCGAGTAAGGTCCGTTAAAATCAGAAAAATCCTGCGTAATAATAATGACTCGAGGTACCTCGAATACCGTACATGATGTATCGCTGTCCTCGGCTACGTCTCTCGGCGCGCTCCAAGTCCTCTCTCCATCCTGACTTCTCGATCCGACGTCCTCCTTCTGGTTACTCCGTCGCAGCACCCCCGCATACTCCATCGTAGCACTGGCGACGACACTGACTCTAGCTCTAACACTCGCGCAAGTAAGATTCGGTCAAAAGAGAAACGCGTATTAACCGATACGCGTACTACCGACACTCGTACTCTGCGTCGCGGTATGCGCGTCGTTCGTCGGCCCGAGGCGCAATGTCCTTTCCGCAATCACGGAGTCATGTATAAACGTACGAAAACAAATAATCGGGAAGGCACGGTTACCCCCCACCAGTCGCTGATCTTGCCGATCAGTGTTGATGCCTGCGTCGTCCGTTAGTTGAAAATGAAAACAACTCGTGTTTTCAAAGCATGCCTGTGAGAGACTCGCTTCAAACTTCACAATACTTATTTACTTCTGTTCCAAGAATCATATTACGCCGAATTTAAACTGTCTCTATTTTGACATGACATACACGAGATCTGCGATCGCATCATTGATCTTTCTTTGGACAAGAAAATCCTGAGAGGAACGCTGTTCGAGAATATCACATTTTATGTTTCAGGTGCCTTGCAGATTATCGAATCCGATGTAACAGATCAGGGAAAGTATGAATGCGTCGTTATGAATAACACCGTGGGCACGGAGTACTCCAAGTCAATCACGTTATACGTGAAACGTACGTATATTTAATTATTATTATTAACATCCATACGCGCGAGTCGAGATGTGCGAGTGTACATTTATTTTCTAGCTTAATTAATGAGTACACAGTCTCATTGTTCTCGTAAGAGAGAAAATGTAATTTACGTTGTATCTTATTAGACGCACCGTTGGAAAAACAAAAGAAAAACGGGCGGGGGGGAGACACATCCGAAGAAAAGTTAGCGGCTTTTTAAAACGCCGCAAACGGGACAACGTGTTTGTAGATAAAATAACGAATGCGGCGCATTCTCGTCGCTCGCGCACAGAACACGTCAATGCCGTAAACGTAGGCGTTTTCCTGCTCGTAATTAAAATTAATTTAACGCAATTAGGACGTAATTAAACTAAAGGACTCGCGCGATTCACGTCGCGCACGTTACATCGTCGACACTTGTCGTTTTTTGCGTTCTCGCGGCAAGATTTCGAATGTCGACTGCTCGCGTTTGCGATTCAATCGCCGTGACTGCGATTTACTAAATCCCCAGGCCCCCTTTCGCCAGGCAAATCTTCCCGTTCGAATCTCGAACAACTACACTATCATGAAACAAAGCTTCCAAAATATTTAGAGAAGGAAACAACCCAGTCGACACAGAACATTATATTTATGTTAAAATTTCGCACTCAACAATATAAATGTAATATAACACACATGGTGTTGAGTGCGAAATTTTAATATAAATGTAATGTAACCAATGCTCTGTGTTGACTGAGAATTACCGCCTGCTCTTGTTACGAATTACGAATGTAACAAGAGATAATAATTCGGATAATAATTAGAAGATGCAATTTTTTACAAAAATATGTATAGAAATGTATATCTAGAGAAAAAGAATCATGTGCTGTTGAACGAGGTGTAAATTTGTGCGCGATGCCGTGTTTCTCAAACCCGCAATTATAGGCGTACCAGAGACACGAACCGCCAGTAAATGGGCGTAGAACGGACACGCACCAAATAGCCACTTTACCGGCAGCGTCTGCAAATGGGCGTAGTCAACGTAGTTGCCGGCTACAAATGGGCGCAGATGACGTTAAAATCAGTCATCAAAATGCAAGTCGCTAAAAACGCCGGCGTGGCCGCTCTCAGGCAGGCTTCTCTCTGGTGTTACACCATTTATGTATCTAACACATAGGAAAAGGAAGAGAGAGAGAAAGAAAAATATGTAAACGTAACAGTAAGGTTATTAAGCTATTGAAATTGTATTTTGCTAGAACTTGAAAATATAACTTTCAATTAAGCAGTTATGAATGACACTACATTCCTCGATATTGATGAATCTCTTAAGACAAAGAACTTGTTACTGCCTGTAAGTAATATAAATATAAAATGAATTGAGATGTATATGACAGTCACAGATTAAAGAAAATAGATTAAAAAAAATATTTAATATTTCCAACAGGATGAGAAGAGAGATGCTTTGAATAATAAGATGGATGAGTGGATGAAGCAGCTTGATCCAACACCATCGATTCTTGTACAACCTATGCCTGGTATGGTTTTTTTATATATTGTATTGCAAACAAAAAATTATTCTATAATGTAATTGCAATAATTATAAATATGATAATTATGCAGGTATCTGTGTAAAGACGAAGACAACTAGTGGAGAAAAAGTTTTTCTAAATATATGTACATCAGATAAAATTCCAGCTCCAATAGATATACCTGATGAAAAATTGCTTCAACTTCTGGATAATGATGAACCTGCTTATTCTATACCAATGAGTATTGGTACTGAAAGGATGGAAACAGATAAATGTAATAAAAATAAGGATAATGCAAGAAAAGTATGAAAGCAAATGTTTCTTGAGATCTGTTTTTCCTTTTCACAGCTGGCGCACCTTGTATGACATTTGATATCATGATAAATACAATTTACTTCAAAAAATGTTGTGAAAATAAGAATTTTATGACATTCACAATATTAATTATATTAAGTGGTGTGTCTGATAAATATAACAAAGACATTGTTTCAGCAAATTATGTTATTCTCAAAAATCGAACAGTACGTATATATCAAATATTTTAGATATTATTTATCTTGAATTTTATTTGTGAACATTGAATGATATTGCAGGTAATGGGCAAATTACAACAACACAAAATATTATGTCGAGAACCAAAAAAACCAGAAAGTTATAAGCCATTAATTGAGGAAATGTCACAACCTAAAAAAGTTGTTGACAAAAAAGTCGATGAAAAAATTGATGAAAAAGTCTGTTTACAGAAAACTGATAAAGCAGAGACTGGTTTTATGATTTTAAGATATCCACTCGAAGATCCAGTTGAACGTATTATCGCTTTATTTGAAATGCCAAGAAGTGTGAGTTATAAAATTCAACTAATCTAATAATCAATGATATTAAGTTAGATAAAATAAAAATGTTGATATGCTTTATCACTTGCAGGTGTCAACTGAGGACATAGTGGTACTTATCAATTCTGGTCGTATAAATGTTACAGATGAAAAAGCTTATTGCTCACATGATATTTTACTTCCATATGCTGTAAAAGCAAGTAGTGCAAAAGCCTATTTAGATTACAATTTAAGGGTAAGGAGTTATTTCCCATTTTTGAGCCATTTTTAATATTCACACATACATACGCGCGCATGTATGTATGCATGTACATATATATATATATATATATCATACATATATATTTGTTTCAGATGTTACGAGTAGATGTGTTAGTAGAATAAACAAGACGTAGTTATTCGGAATTACACTCTGACGTTTTATCTTTTCACAACACTAAAATGAATATCCTATTCCCGATTTTTATTTTATTTTCCTACTCTTGTATCCAAATAGGATAACAGAAGTTTGATTATACATTGAAATTCTTAATTTAAGATATACGTTTTAACTTTACAAGAGTTCTGAGGTAACTGAAGGGAATGATTGTTCAGTAAAATTATATTGAATTCGAGATTATCGGTTGCGTAAATTCGAGCCTGAATGTGATGTAAAGTATAATAAACAAATATAAAATCTATTTCATAAAGCAATATAAATCGGATAACAAATACATTAAATTTCTCATATTTCTGTATAGAAAGTCGGCCGTTCGATACCTAACATACCGAACACATTTGGCAGCAAATATACGGTATTTACACCTATCATGAAACAACATAGATATTTATAGACTAGGTCAACGAAAACCTTATTCGGATTTCCACTATAATCCTGGGACTTCATTAGTTCCTTAGAATTGATTCGCAATATGGCACATATTGTGGCGTAGCTAAAGGATTTGCATATAGCTTTCGTCGCGATTATGCTGCAAAAGCCGAGTACAGTTCTGAAGATCAAACGACCAAACATAGGATACGTCGGCCAAATGATATGATATGGCGGCGAGAATAACGGTTTGCTCAATACGCCGGTATAATAGTTCAGCCATGCTCCCGCATGAACTCCTGCTGTCACCGATACGACCATTGTAGTGTCGCCTCTGGAATAAATTGACAATTTAACAAAGACTTGTAAAATTGAATCGTACGCAGGACGTCCTGAATTTTTACTTAAAAAACAATATACAAATTATATGTTACTATAATTTATATACTGTCTTCTTTAAATAAAGATACAGATCTAAAAAATAATTGTATGTTACTACAACTGTTATTACTGTTCTCTTTAGATATAGATTTAGGATAGTCTGAAAAATAAGCCACTCCATTGATTTGTACTTACCTAGTAGGTGTCCACTTGTCACTGCATGGATAATACACAATAGCCATAATACTAATAGCAACTAATATTACCAAACACCAGAAGTTTGTGACAATGTAAGAGTCCATTGTGTCCACTAAAGGTACTAACGGAATCATTAAAACAATCGCTAATATCACACCTACCACTATATCCAATACAGTGTGCATACCCAGGTAGAGTCTGCTGGTGCTCACAAGTATACACCTGACAAAATAGTGCGAATTATAAGATTACATTGCATTATATCAATATGAATGAGGTAATGAACATACAACAGTAATAATACATGATTCACACTCACCAGAGGAAAGCAATGATACAGCCAATGTGAATTGGATAAATATATCTATTCATTGTGAATAATACTACACTAAATGGAATCGAAACACCGATCATGGCATGAGTAGATGGCATCCCATATTCTTGTGACCATTTATATTGCAATCTAGCTGCCGGTGGACATGCCGGCCTAGGCCAACGAATCACATCTTTCAACGCTTGTCCTAGAAACAACATAAAACAAATTGAAAAATATATTACATTGTAATAAATCTATTATTTACAATTAGCTTAACCTTACCAATACTCATAACAATAGCCCATACCAAGACTACCCGTCGACCAACAGCTCCGTCGACATTCCAAAACCAGAATGGTATAAAGGCCGAATAAAATATCTCATCTCCCAACTCAGTCCCGAATAAAAATAGATAATACCAAAATGCATTGTTGATTGTGTATTGTGGCTTCCCTAGAACTGCTGGAGTCTCTTCTCCGTTTCTTCTCTTATTTGCTGAATCTGAATCATTCTCTTGCTGCTGTAGTAGCTTTGTTTGTCTTATGTATCCATTGAACTCTTTACTACTGGTGTCACAGCCATTTGTCTTTTGATTACGGCAAGTTAAAAGATGATTTGCTTCATTATGATCGACTTCTGTGCAGATACACTTGCCTTCATCGTTGCTCCGCGATCCTTCGTGGGTTTTGTGCTTCCCGAAGTGTTCCCCATAATGTATACTGACGCCAAAAAATTGTTGTATATTCGCGACTAATTGGGAGTCCTTCAAATAGTCAATTATTTCCGATCTAATCATCCTTGTTGCATTTAATATCGCTCCTTCATATCTGCAAGCATATCGTGATCAGACAGATCAAAGCTCGCGACTGACACATTTCTCAAAGGCACAGGTAGACAATATTACAGTGTAATCTCAGTTATTCGATGTTACTGAACTACAATACGATACCGATACAAGATACAGTCCAAAAAGCACAACTCACCGAAAAGACACCGTGTTGTTGTCCCGTAATTGTCGCGGCACTTTCACCGACGAGACCACCGGACGACGATCTGTCTGTAGTTTGATTTCAATAATTTATCGTTTGCAATTCTCTGTCAAGGACCGATCTCATCAGCATCGAATACCGCGTGCGACTCGTGTGTGTTTGTTAAAATCTCGCCGGAACCGGTTTTAAACCACGCTACATTGCACGTCACCGAGATCGTACACGACAACCATCGCTCCCCTCCCCGTTATAAATCTGCCCCACGTTATAAATCTGCCGTTCGTCGAGTATAATCCGCGACAATTATGAAACTATCTATTTACTCTACGCGACATGAATAGCACCGGTCTAATGAGGAGAGAAGCGCTCTCGCCTCTCGGCTCGCGCTAGCTCCGTTGGTTAGCTGCGTGTGAATGTGAGTCACGATGACTACATGACATGTGTGTGAAGTCGGCCGTAGGTCGTTTCTACGTAGATCGCAATCCGACCATTGAACTTCAGCAGCATCACACCGGACCGTTGACCTGAATGATGAAAACGCGAATGATGAAGCGCAAACCTGTTATCCGCTTTCGGTCGATATCATCGATATTCTTCTTCTTCTTCTTCACAATTTTTCACAATCCGGAACTAGGTGTATTCCATTAGCCAAAATATCATCGATATTGCCGGCTTTTCGGTCGAGTTCCGGCGGGAATTAGTTGATAATCGATAGTCGGGCGATCGCGCAAAGATCGATGATTCGTCTCTGATAACACCCCGTTGATACAAATTACGATTTCGATCACGAATGGCGCCCGGTAGACGCGACGATATCGCCGGCATTTGCTTGCATTTGAAAACTTCAAAATATCTCACTTTTTTATGCGACAAGTAAGTTAGCTGAGGGTTTCATCTTCTCTGAATTATACCCTTCATTGAAGACGCGATTGCAACGATGAAACTGAAGGTATAGCAATCTTCTTTAAATCTCTCGGATATGTGTCAAACTGTGGTCGATTCTATTTCTTTTGTAAATTTCTTAATTTTGAGAAACTAAGCGCTAATTTTGTGTGCTTTTGGTATTAGTATCGAAAAATTTATGAGAAGTGGAGTCGAATTGAAGTTGAATTTTCTTCGTTTTCTCGATACTTTTCGAAGATATCTGGATGGCATCGGTGACAATGGAACAGCACGACAGGTACTTGAAATATCTAAAAGAGTTATACCCATATTGCATTACCGTCAAGTAATTATATCGCAACATGCCAAATCGTTAAAGTCAAAGATAAGAAAAACGTAATAGTTTCCGAGAAGCCGCAAACGTAAGGGCGTTTTTCTTTCCATGAGACGAAGCGACGGGAAGCTGGGAAAAGCTGAGATCCGATGACGATGGCACGGCGGAGAGCAATTTCCCGATGAAGGCAAACAAGCGCGTAGGTCTTGATTAAACGTATCTCCTGCCGGCCAAAGAAAACAGAAGGACGGCGCAAGATCGTCGATTGATACTCCGGACGCGAATAAAGGCATCGACTTTTGCCATGGAAGGATTATTTCTCGCGAGGTCGAGGACGACACCACAGTGTTTTACTGTTTTGCAAAGTACAACTTCGAGGGAGCTTGCAAAGCATGCTTCTTCTTCGCCTTACCCTGTGCGTCATTCTTCACGTCGGCGATGTTTTTTCGACAAGTAAAGCTTACGAGTGTCTCAGGTGCAAAATATAACGGGAACAATAAGCCTTTTGCTCCGAATCCGAAAGTGTTAATTAATTCCCGTCAACTGATGACTACCAGACGACAGAATTCGCTAAGAATTACATTATAATTATAATGATTATATATTAATTCTGTCTCTGCATAGCCATGTAATTTTTTATACGTTTTTATACAATTATACGTAATCTCTCTCATTTTTTCCCAGGTTAAAGAGTAAAAGGCGCACTACACCCATTATATTTCGGGCAATAATCTCGTGAACAATATCGAGTAATGATGATTAAAAGAGATGACTAAAGATTGTTCAAAGTCGTTTGGTCCAGTCAATCACTGCAATTTGTATTTACCATAGCGGAGAACGCATTTAATCATGGGGCAAGGATCTGGCTGGACCGGGTGGATGACTCGCTCGAGTTCCTGAATCGTGCGACCGCTAGTCTCGAGTGGCAAACCCTCAGGAACGCTTCGGTCGTGCCGCCCGACGTGTACGCGTCTGTCTTTCAACTGAGATTGATGTGGAGGGATCGTTGGTGCGGAGAGTTGATGGATTTTCAAGATAATGGAATATTCGTAGGCAGACAGTTGCTGAGCTTCTTGTGCCACGGGGTGAAGTACAACGATAAGATAACGAGGTACAACAAACTATCCGTATAATCGAAGAATTTCTTCTCCTCTCACGATAAAAAAATTCTCACTTGTTTATCAATAACAAAAAAGAAAATTTGTCTCACCGGTGGTTGTAGAAAAATTACCGTCATCAAGGAGATACTGTCTTCCACGTACGACTCTGCGCACATTTGCGAGGATCACCGACGGAGATGTTACCGCGGCGAGTCGGACATGGCGAAGTTGATGGCGACTTCGAGGTAATTCACTGCTGCAACTTATGCGCATTATCAAGTAGACGTGAGATTATCCGGGAAAAAAATTATATTAACCCAGGTAACAAGATGATATCTTAATGACGTTCAAAAACGTCTTAATCACGCCATAATGACGCCTTTAAATGTCATCTTGCTACTTAGGAATTTTACATTATTTTACATATATGTAGCCATAGAAATAAAATTCATATATGATCACAATCATCTTATGTGATTATATGCAATTTTATATAATTACACATGACCATATGTTTTCCCATATAACACGTCTCAAACGCGTACGTATTTAAATTTATCTAGAAACGAGAGCAAATTGCGTTGGGCTTGGTCGGCATGGAGAAATCGTATGAGCGGGATGAGGTGGCCCTTCGCACAGTTGATTGCTCTTGAAAATATGGCAGCACGGAGCAACGGTAATGGATATGAGTGTTCTACGATCTCTCCAGAACTATTCTCTATGAATAGATAAATGCTGAGATAAGTCTTGATATATGGAAAGATAACAGTTTAGAGATGAAAAATAACTCCATAAAAAAATAATTCTACACGTAAGATTACGTATTATTCCGTTTAATCAGAAGTTACTTCGTATAGGCTACGCGGATATCGGAGCATATTGGAGGGAAGAGTTCGAAATCCCGAACTTGGAGAGCGTCTTCGAGGAGATGTATCGACGAGTCGAGCCGCTGTATCGCCTTCTTCACGCTGTCGTGAGGTTTCGGCTCGCGAAATTGTATCCCGACGTCGTCGACATATCCCAGCCGATTCCGGCTCATTTGTTAGGTAAATTGACTTTTGCCGAAAACTCAAGTAGGACAAAATGTCCTAGAATTATCTTGTATGTTTTGGGGTGTTCTAAAGACATCCAACATAATTTCAGTGTGTTTATCTGAGGATACAATAGGAGGATAAAATTCTTCCTCAAAGAAAACAGTTTTGAGAGAGAAACGTACTCGCTGTTCTCTTGCAGGTAACTTGTGGTCGCAGAGTTGGGAAGCGTTGATCGACGTGGTGTTTCCGAATTACATCGCAATCATTCCGGATCTGACGGACTCGATGAGGCGAGGCAATTACAGCGTGACGAAGATGGTAAGACAAGTGGAAGACTTCTACGTCTCTCTTGGATTCCCGCCCTTGACGCCGGAGTTCTGGAAGAACTCCGTCTTCGAGCGAGAAGCTGGTGAGACCTCCAGCTGCCATGCGACTGCTATTAACATGTTCAAGAGGAACGACTTCAGGTATACTTGAGGAAACAGACGCTGTGAGCTCGATTGATCGATCGCATCGATTATTTGCAGGATCTTCGCGTGTCTAGAGACGAATTCGCAGGACTTCAACGTTGTTCATCACGAGTTGGGTCACATACAATACTACATGGCGTATCAGAACCAACCGTCGTTCTTCAAGGTTCCTCGATTTCCGGATAAGCCAGAATTACTTAATACGTTGCCTGCTATGATGCTCATCGATGAGCGACGCTATAATATTGCCGCGTCTCATGATTTACTTATATAAGGTGTAATCAACTATATAATAAATAAATCGGCTGTATAATGTAATCCGATAGAGTCGATGAAACAAGTTGTCGAATACATGCACCACGAATTGCAATTATTTGTTGCGTATCGGTGATTCACACAGTCAAGGTGTTAATTACATTCTAAATAGGGTAAAACGTTCAATGATCGGCGCTTAATATTTCATCAGATATTAAGATACACGAAGAAAGATTAAGAAAACAAATAAAAGGAAAATAATTAATAAACATCCATGCACTTAAATGTTTGATAAAAGCCGCGCGAGAGTGCCGACTGCTGGACGTTTCACTCCACTTTGTTGCAAAACCTGGAATAATAAGGTTATTTATCTCCTCAGAACGGCATCAACGCTGCTTTCCACGAGTCGATCGGCGACGCGATCTCGCACGGCGCGACTTCTCCCCGGCATATGCGGCGTCTAGGACTGCTACGCGACGCGTCAAGTGACTCGTTAAAGACGGCAGTCCTCGTAAAGCAAGCTCTACTGAAGATACCGCAGCTGTCGAGCGGGCTGGTAATTGAGAAGTGGAGGTGGTCGGTGTTTTCCGGCAGGACGAAGCCGTCGAGGTACAACGAAGCGTGGTGGCACCTGCATCGTCGCTACATGGGCGTCGCGCCGCCATCGCCGAGATCCGAGGAATTCTTTGATGCCGCGGCGAAGTATCACGTCTCCCACGGTGTACCCTATGCCAGGTGAGCTCGAACTCGAGTCGACACCGAACAATGGCAATCGGATGGTTCTCATACCGAGGATCCGTGGTTCGCAGGTATTACCTGGCAAGTTTCCTGCAAGTGCAACTATTCCAAGGGATGTGCGAGGCGTCTGCGGGTCTGAGAGTTGGCTCTGCGACGTTCAATGCGAGCCTCCACAAGTGCGACATTTATGGATCAAAGGATGCGGGCAGGATCTTGAGGTCTGAAGCAATCGCCGTCTAGTTTAACCGTCTAGTTTTGTAAAAAATGATAGCTTTAATCCCTTTTCTCGTACATTGTGACTTCTGGAAGGAAGTGGAGTAAAAAAAATAACAATTCTAAAAAAGTGCGAGGAAAGATGGCGTTCAGGATGTAGCGATGTAGTCCGCTTGATTTTTCGTTTTCAAGGTCGGTGATGGAGCTCGGAAGCAGCGTGGACTGGAGGCGCGCATTGCGCTTAATTACGGGACACGTTGAGTATCGTGTGGAGCCGCTTCTAGCTTACTATGAGCCAGTTCATATGTGGCTGCAGCATGAAGTCAAGCGTCATAATATTCCCGTGGGCTGGGACTGAAGCGATTTCGGCATCTCGAGTTGCATAAACAACGCTCCTGAACATAAACGCGCACGCGTGCTTCGTTGTTACTGATTCGTCGTGATTTGGGACCCGCTGATCGTATTCAATTCGTTGTACTCAATTGTTGCTGTGAGCCTAAACCTTCGTTCGTGAAGATGTCGAACTCTTCCCGACTCGTAAGAGCATTGCGAACATCGTCCAGTGTGATGATTGTAGGACATCTGCATAAATAATAAATAAAAGAGACTCGGTTGACTCGATATGAGGTTCACCGTGTGCAACGATGTAGTAAAATATAACGAGGTAGTGTATTTACCCGCCGCTGTTCCTCTCCCAAGCTCTCGTCAACGACGACCGAGTCAAGTCCTCTACGAAGCATTCGATGACCTGAAAAGGCATGCAACGATTTTCATAATACCTTTCGTTTAGTGTAAAAGATAAGTCAATTATCGATCGAGAACTTTTACTTTCAGCTATCTAACTTAAATTAGAAAGAAAAAGTTTTATATTAACCCTCTCAAGATATTTTATTACTCATAGATATTTCATACGTACTTAAGACTCGATTAGTTGAGAGATTTCTTACTTTCCGGTATCTAGTGCGAACTTGAGACTCGTTTTATCAAGACGTATTACTTTCAGATACTAATTTCGAATTTAAGATTTGTTTTATTGGTTCATGGTTGATCACCCTCAGATACTTAATCCCCGTCTGAGCCTAAAGATGAAACACGAACTTTATTTACCCTTATTATCAGTCGACTAGCTGCGCAGTACACAACGCCCGGGACGATCTCCTCCGGCGCGATCTTGATGCCGATCTCCTGTGCAGTGTCACATACGTATTTATGCAACGGCATCAAGCTCTTGTCAAGCTCGAGCGGCGTTAACGTGGGAGACACGACGGTGGATCGTTCTTCATTCTTCCGCCGGTCGATCGTACCTCTGCACGGATTCTCATCAACAGTCACCACATCAATCTCCATCTCCCCGCTTCCGTCGACACAGCTGTTCGTCAACCGATGACTAGACTCTTGCCGGCAAGCTTGCAGCCACTTGTGGAATGCGACCGGCTCCGTCAACGTGGACACCAACGCGCCAGAGAACGAAGAGTCGGGCAGACTTTTAGTACCGGTGCTCGCCGCGTCCACCTTCGACACCCCGAAGACACCGCGACTACACTTACTCGGCGTGTAGCCGTGCAACCTCGCCCACATCAAGATCTCCTTAACGTTCCACAATCGATCGTCGTCCTGGGACAGTTTCTTCCGTAAGTAACTCTTGATCGTCTTGGCACGGTGCCACTCCAAAGCCCGCTGCTTGCCGACGCTCAACGCGAGGAAGTCCTCCTCGCTGCGGCACGCGTAAGGATGCAGTCGTCTGTATTCCGGATCGCGAGCATCCTGCGTGACGATCGGTAGCCTGCGAACGGCGAACCGCAAGAATGCTTCCGTTTCGGTGATATTTGCGCGATCGATCGTCCGTAGAGCCACCTCGTACAGCTGCAGCTTGCTCTGCAGCTTGTACTTGTCCTTGCCCAGCGTGATCTTCGTTCGGTGCTGCGTCTTCTCGTCCTTGCCCGCCGATTTCGCGACCTCCCGATTTCCAGTTGACGACGACGACGACAAAATGATACCTCTCACTGCATCGGACAGGTTGTAATTGTACTGCGGGTCGTGCGAGTCCGCGATCTTCAGCGCTGGCTCGGAGTAATTTACGTTCAGCAGCAGACTGTTGGTGCTCTTCACCGTGAGCGTGGTAACGTCCTTGCCAGTGGTCTTCACGGTGTTCACCTTACCTGCTGGTGGTTTCTTCAGGATGCTCACACCCTGAGGCATCGGCCCCATGTTCAATCTCACGACGTCGCCGTCGGCAGATTTCCTCCTCGCCATGTCCATCGGGATCAGTTTCTTATTCTTCATGAAGAGCACGTGCTTGTTGCCCGAGGACGTGAACAACGGCGGTATAGAAATCTCCAGTGGCTTTAGGTGTGAATTGTTGACGCTCGCGGCTTTCTGTAGACTCTTCAGCCGGTCGAGCACGGCGTCAGACGGTTTGCAGAAGCCGTTGGTCGTTGCCAGAATATCTTTGCTCGCAATATTTTCTGAGATTCCAGACGAAACCTCGTTGTTTTGCAACTTGTTCACGTCGAATGATAGCAGACTCTTCCTCGGACTGCCGTTCTTCTGGAATGCTGTTTGTCCCAACGACAACACCTGAAGCGCCTGCGACTCCACCGTGACTCTCGCGTTTACAACCGTCGGTGGCTGACGATCGCTGGAAGACTGGATGTCACCGTTGTGTTTATGCGACGTGGTCGACGCACCGTCAGGCTTCCCCTCGTTAACGTTAGCAAGAACTTCGTTATCTGGGAAATGTTCTATCGTTACATTACCGTCTCTCACGACACAACGAGGCTTGAAATACTGTTCGTTTATGTAGTCATGGTCATGATAGATGCTGAAACATATGGCTTCTAGGTGTGATTTGTCGACGCTAACGGAGGAAAGTGCACTTGGGGCTACTTGTTCAAACTTGACTTTCGTTTCGACGTCGGCGGACTTCTCGGTGAGCGCTGAAACTGCCGGTGTGCTAATCTCAGACTGGTATATCTCTGAACTCATGATTTCTTCCTTTATTAAAATCTCGAGAGGGTCCTCTGTGAGTCGCAACATCGATAGTACCGCGGGTTTCTCTAATTCCTCGCGAACTGGCTCGGAATCGTCGTCATCGCTCGATGGCTCTATCGTCATGCATGTGTTTCCGGTCAGCAACTTGGCGGGTTCGTTCTCGTCGCGACCGCGGCAGTCCGCAGTGTAAATCCACAGGTCGACCACAGTCTCTGAACCTAGCATCTGTAGACCGGTGTAAGTGCGGTCCAACTTCAAGTGATGAATGATATCCATCGGTTTATTGAGCGCGTTCTTAAAGTGCAACTGCACCCGCAACGGGAACTCGCCCCAACCACGTCGCGACAAGTGGAACGGGTACGACGTGACTTCGACTACATCGTTAGGACGGTAACTTGGATGCAGGAAAAATCTCACCTTACTGACGTAGGTGCTGATATCGGCGACGTCTTTGTCGCCGCGCACGTACATCGTCCACTTGTGACTAGCATCACTGCCGTCTCGCCAGTCGGATGGGATCCACTTGGAGATGTTGCCGACGATGATGCGTTTGCGTACCTTGTGCCTGTCACCGCGAGAAGGCCGTGTATTGTTTTCTGGCACGCTGCTCTTCGGTGGCACATACCGTGGTATCTTGCGTAATGGCAGGTCCTCGTCCAGTGGTAGCGTCCGCTTTGTAGATGATGACCTCTTGCCATTACGCTCTGCGTCTGCATCTTCTTCCTTGATCGTTGAAACCGTTGCTTTTAATGCGGCAGATTCATCAATGGGCAGGAAACGAGGATCCGTGGACGTCGACGGCACCGCGGGCTCTGTGTAATTCCAGAGTCTAGGACTCTTGCCAAGCAATGACTTAACCGCAGGATGAATCCTCGTTTGCTTCCTTGCCTCAGCAGCTTGGGGCAGCAGACATTGCTTACGGTTGTAGAAATCAGTGACTATGACATAGCGTAAAAAATGCAGAGTCTTCAGGGATTTGTGTAGTCTATCTTGTATCTGCAAGATTTCCTTCTGCTTCAAATCGATCTCCCGTGAAAACTCCTTCTCCACTATTGCAATTATCTTTCTTGCGGTGCTGTTTCTTGCTGGAAAATAGAAGAGATAATGTGCAACTGCTTAGATATGACCTAGTAATTTGTTACAACTATATATAAATATATATACATACTATCAAAAATATTTTCTTATAAACTGATATACAACAATAGATTAATACAGCATATATTAACTTTATACTGTTCCCAACATCAACTTATGGTATCTAGAAGTTTATCAAAATTTTATAAAATCTATTTTATTATATCTCAATAACTAATATCTTTATTTGATTTCTACTGAAAAGTTGATATTGGGAATGATATAAAGTTAACATATGCTGTATGAATCTATTGCTGAATATTAATCTATAAGAAAATATTTTTGATATACAAATATAACACATATAATAATACACATATCACATAAAATAGTCAGAAATTGAAAACAGTTTAGATATTGTCAGAAATAGTGAAGCAATTGCTGACAATACAACAGCCATGCTTTAAAAAATATAGACAAATATTTTCCCTGGTTTAAAGGTGAAACTTTTTACTGCTCACGATAGTAACTTATTATGTCTTACAGAAAACATTAAAATTAAAAATTTTATTTTATCATATATCAATTATTAATGTCACTCTTACTATATTTTCCAGAAATCGCTTTCACCTATCTTTCCTAAAATATATTTTAATTTGAAAAGATTTAATAAAGTGTGATTTTTTTTAATATTAACTGATTGATTTCTTCTTCTTTATGTTCATTAATCCATAGGGAACCATAATTAAGAAGTAATATCAATACACTGACCATTTTCTTCGTAAATCTTTTGTTGTACTTGGTTGCTAGAGGCAGCAGAAACATAATCAGGATCCTGACCGCTGAGTGATTCTTCAAAAGTATTCATTTATTGCGTTTAGTCTTTAATAAGATGGATATGAGTCATTTCAACATATGACGCTCGTAGCACAGTATTCAAGAACACAATATGCGATACCGAATACACTCTCACGATATTCTAAACTCAGCGCGTTCCTTCACTAATCGATCACATCACTAAAAATTCACGTAATTTATCAAATATGTGTACTCTCTTTCTTCTACAAATGTGTATAAAAATGTCAGTGAACTCTACTCTGTAGGTTATACACACTATAAGCTTCACTCGTTCTACGTCTTCGAAAACGGTAAGTGATCGTCACTTCTGAACGAAAAATTGTTTCTTATTAAAAGGACACTGGTACTCATCTCCGGCAACCGAATAATTCGTGAATTCTCTAAAACATCGAGGCAAACCTCGATAAAATTGCCATAGTTTGATTGCAGCTGGGAAAGAAGCATTGCACGCTTAGCCATATTGAACACAGCTTGAGATCCGTTAGGACGGCGATTTTCAACGAACTGCTGACGTCATCTAAAGCCTGTTCTTTTTCCTTGCACTGTCTTGCACTAATAGTTCTCTTCTCTTTTTTTTCTATGAAGTCTCAATTGCCTGCTTTTGTTCATTTTTTGACTAAAATACAGAAATAATTATGATTTAATATTTAAAAGCAGATAATCGAGACTCGGGATAAAATTTGCAGTCCTCTGTAAAATTCATATCGGAAGTGTCTGAGAATAGACATATTGCTGAAAAACTACAAAGCAATTACTTTTTAGTTTTACTTTATTACTTCCGATTGACACAAAAATTCAAGAGTGGTTCTATTTTACATAATTTGACGAGTACTATTTGAATGCAATTCTAAAAATTTACAAAAATACTTGCATTAGTTTTGGCTAAAAGTTACAAAAAATACTTGATTTAATTTTGGCTGAATTTTATAGAAACTGGAAACTACAATTTGAGTCTCGACTAAAAACTAATTTTTAGCTAAGACTCAAACCACACGTCAATAATTATAATTAATTATTATTATTACATCTATTATTGTTGCTTATTGCAATATATTATAAATTATTATAGAATTATTATTTTTGTACATAACCCGAAATTATTAGACTTTATTTTTCCAGTGGCAAAATAAGGGGTCTATAAGACCCGTTATTTTTATTCAAATTAGTTTCAAAGTTTCCGATACGAGTCGCTACTTTCTTTAGCCAAAAATTGAAGTAGTATAAGTCGGCGATTAATTAGACGTCCTATTATAATTCAAATTTTAATAAGTTTAAAGTCAAACTTTGGTAAAACTAATGATAATAAAATGGTCTGTAAAGCATTATGAAGTATTATGAAGTTTTTACTTCTTAGGTATGTAAAATTATAGTGTTATTATTTTTTACGAAGATATAACAAATTGTAAAAAATTCATTTATATTTACTAACGAGAAATAAAATTCCTTCTCAGTCATAGAACGCCATTTAATAGAAAATTTTAGATTCAGATTAAGAAAATTTTAATGACCTTAATGACTCACGGTAGATTAAAAAGACGTCTTTATTTTCCAAGTAGTATGACTTGATGACGGATCTGCTAGACTTGTTGTTGATGGTCAACATAAATACAATCCCGGTACTATACTTGCAATATGATGTGATAATTTTCTTGATATGTATTATATTAAAAGTTAGAGAAAGTTTTACAACTTTGTGGATTACGATTGACACTTCGAGCGTGTCTCACTCTCGTAATATTTAAAATTTATGCGAGAATGTCGGCGCATGTTATGTGCTTAACTTCCTCAGGAGGAATTCCTTTGTTTACACGTCACAATGGAGATAGCGATACGGTATGTTCACAAATAATTCCATGATTTATATTTGATAGACATTACATTCCTGTCCTTTTCTTAAGCATGGCTATTTTTCTTTTCTCTTTATCTTTTTTACAAAGAATGTTATGATTAATAATTACAGATGACATTTTCAAAAATAGCATCTCTTAATGGAGTTCATATGTTCTTAAAGTCACAGGATATCACTTTATTGAGCACAGATTTACCAGACACAACTGTGGTATGGAAGGAATTTGAAGACTGTATCATGCTAATAGTAATCGCCAGTGGAGTGACCAAATATGTATTAGACAAATTCCTGGACGCCACTTTTGGTGCAATGGTTCTTTTCACTGGTATCGATGAGATAAAGAATACTAAAAACATAGAAAGGCTTAAGAAAGATATGCGTCTCTGTGGTCCTATCATAGACAAACTGATGGACTGTTTAGACATAGGAGATAAAATTTCAGCAAAAACTGACATGGTCAATATGACAGAATGCATCATATCTCCTGAGAATCATTTGCTTCAGGTAGCTAAATGTTTTACTGAGCAAACTTGGTATCTCAAGTGAACCTTTCTGAAACCAAACTGATTTATCTTTTAATTTTATGATTAGAGCTTAACTTTCCAAAATTAAGAATACTTATAGAATAGAGTTGACTGGTTTGGCTTCTGAGAGTCAAATTGTGCGATATATATTTGCATTAACACATATATATTCAAGACTTCTTTAGAAGGATTCATGGAATGTTTGGACTCAATATATGGATGTGTCTTGGTGCACGGTTGTGTAGCAGTTGCCACGGAAGGCTGGTGGTCATTAGATCCTGTAGAGAGGAAATTACTAACTATAGCAATTACTACTGAGAGTATCTGTACCACTCGGGATATTCCAGTGTTCTTACCACGTAAGAGTCCAAGTGTGAGTATTGTTGAACAGATATTAAATCTTGAGAGAGGAAATTAAAAGAAGAGATCATACATTCTGTAAAATACTTCAGGAAGTGGAATAATTATAAGTTTAACTAGATTTTTATGATACTCCATTTAGGTGGCATTCAGATTGGTCTCTATATCTCTAATCAATCACGTGGAAGTACTGGCGTTATGCGGGCCGAATCCAGAGCTAACGGAGATCGAGAGGTTCGCTGTACAGTGCTGGAAAGGCAGTATTGATGCGCTGTGCGCCTCCGAGCAGTGTTACCCACGGAACCTACCCACATCTGTATCTTTAGACAGCGAGACGCTCGGGTAAGATCATCGCTTTGGATAAGATTGTCACTGTAACGAATTACTCGAATAACAAAATCGTTAATTCGAGCAACACTTTAGATTTCTGCTGGCGAATTACAAGGTGGAGAAGTTCGTTCTCGGCAGGAACGCGCAGTGCGCGAAAAATCGCGTGACGGGTTCTCACAGATTGGACATCCTGCGGACGTTTTACCATCAGGCCGTCGAGACGTTCGCGCTGTCGGCCGAACGCGACGACAGCAGCGGCGAAGGTACGAGCGCTGGCACGTGGAAGTTCACTGGAGCGAAGGAAACGTATCTGTGCTCCGAGTATCACAAGTGCCACGCCGTCAGGCACGGCGACCACGTGCTTTGTGTCTTGTACACGTCCGCTGTACCGACTCACACCATGAGACTGATCAGTCAGAAGATACTGAAGACAGTGTTTAGCGATAAGCAAGGATATTGGTAGGCTTCCATTCTCTCTCTCTCTTTCCTACATTCTTTCTTTCCTACATTTGTAATATACCAAATAAAATATTGATTTGTACTAATTTTATTACATATTCTTGGAAGTCTCGCTGCTGTTTGTCAGATCCTTCGTTGCACAAAACACGAAGAAATGCGATTACACGTTAGACGCCACCTAGATCTACTTTTATCTCTCAGAAACCGATGACATGCGGATGTAGACTTCGAAGCGAGTAGAGAAAGTAAAACCGAGTGAAAAAGCTGCGGCTGAAATGAACAGACCATAGCTTGCCACTCCTCACTGTTTCTTTATATCTCATGTATGCAATTAAAATGAAGCGAATATCGCCTCGCACTTGGAAGAGAGGGGAAAGGAACGTCGTAGACGCAGAGGAAGCTTACAAAAATAAGACCTCTCATGCAATTCGAGTATAAGTCAATTATGAGGATCTATAGCTTCCAACTGCACTTCCTTGCGGTAGGAAGTGCAGCTGGACGTACACTTTTTTTCTTTTAAATCACGAATGGCGATCGTAACACGTGCACGTGTCTGGTTAGCTCAGCCGTGAGGCGGATCTCGCGGAAGTCGGAGAAACAAGAACGCCTCCCGCACAACGCCCGCAGCACGACGCTGCTCGTAGCAGCGAAAAAATCGATAATGGAAGCGCCAGCCGGCGAAGGCGCACGCGTCAAGCGTTACTGATGCGTGTCAGCTGTCCCGGTCGTAACTAAAACGGGAATACAGGTGTTCCTCGCTCCTTTTGCGACAGAAGTCTTCCAATGCGGTACTGCGGTCCCGATCGAACTTAATGGCTTGCGACAATCGCACGAAGGTGTATCTCGGATTCGAGGACGAGTACGTCGCCGAGAAGCACCGTTTCTCGCTGAGCTTCCAGACGAACAAGATCGGCGGGCATGCGGTGAGCAAACGCGGAGAGTTCACTTTGTCCTCGCGCAAAATATCCTCTCCACCTCTCGCCCTCACCTATCGCCAGTCTCATCGCGAGGCCGATCGTTGGCGGGGAAATTCCCGCTAGGTGAGACGATCCGTCAAGCACCGTGCTGACGTTGGACGACGTAACAATGCGAGATATTTACAAACAAATGACATATATAGGATGCTCTCGTTACCACTCGCGAGTACTCTCTAATGCTGAACTTTCGACTCGACGGAGGGGGGATTTGATTAGCATCGGCTGCATTCCGGAACTTACTGGCGATGTTGAAGATCGAGTTGACAGTGGACATTCAGTATCAATATTGAAAATGGAAGCAACACACGTAACGTGAACTGTCGATCTTCAGTACCCTCAGCGCATTTTGGAGTGCAGCAATCCCATCGTGTAGTGTCAGGACTAATTGAGAGGGAACTGGTTTCAACGGGTTTGAGTCAACAGTATATATTTCCCAAGGATTGTTCCAACTTCTTGGTAAGTTAACTGATAGTTAAATCATACGTTTATCTTTGTTTTTCCTTCAGTTTAAACGAAGACAGACATGTGATTTAACTATCAGTCAACTTACCAAGGAGTTGGAACAACCCGCCCTGATACAATCAACTTTCCAAGCATCGCTGCACTGGTATAATTAATCAACAAGTGATACCATTAGGCCAATAGGTAATTAATGAGCACGCGACTGTCTTGTGACTGTATCTCCTTGTCTTTTTTCAGAACTGTTACGGCAAGAACACATTGTCGTCGCCACAATGCAGACTCTGCGGTTTGTATCAACTGCTGGCGCTGCAACTGTACGCGCCGTTAGATAATTCCAAGTACCATCGGACACTATACATATTCGCGTGCATCAACCCGAACTGCTGGAATCAAAACGAGAGCTGGACATGCTTGAGGATACAGCATCTGGAGGATGAGACCAAGACGAGCGCGTCGGATTGCGGCAGCGTTAACGTGCCGTCCACGACGGCCTGGCTGTCGGATGAGGATGACTGGGGGGATAACGTGAATGACAACGCGTCCGAGCAGAATGGGAATAACATGCTGGGGAACGATCCCCTGTTTCACTTTTCTCTGCACAAGGAGATAGACCAGGATATCCGGGAGGAGTTGTCCGTACTGCGCGTGGACGATCCGAATGCGAATAGGTCTATATCGGGATTGATCTTGATTATCCGCTAGCCAGGTAGAACCCAAAATCACGATAGCATTGTGGAAATGACGAGATAATGGTGGAATTTTCGGTCACGATCGAAAAGTGAGGTCTTGTAATCATTTTCTCGTCCTTTGACATTATCGTGATTTTCTGTTCTACTTGGGTGATCGTTCAACTGTTATTTTTTTAACATTATCGTATTTGTACGTCGGGAGAGAACGGGTCAGTTCACTTCACGACTTTTGCCTGAGAATTTGTGAGAAGATCCAGGGTTTCTCCGTGCGTGAACGTCATTCTTGAATTTCAGCCCGACCAGCGTGGATTCTCCGGTCAGCGGGGGCGCCGTAGGTCGCTTGGATTCTCCTCAGGCTTCCGCGGAGATTGACGGAGATGAGAGCGAGGTCGTGTGCATCGACACCCCGACGCGACCGCAGTGTGATCTAGTTAGTTTACTGCACGAGGTAACGCCGTTGCCGCTGCAGATCACGAACGCGGAGACCAAGTACTCCTTCATCGAGATATTCTTGTCGGTCGACGAAGAGGACTACAGCGCGGACGTGTCCCAGCACGTGCGGGATCTGCTGGTCGAGTATCAGCACAGCAACGTGGACGTGTCGACCAAGTTCATGCCAGAATCCGGCAATCCCAAGACCATCGACACGGATGTGGAGAAGTACGAGAAGGGTATTCCCAGGCACGGTGACGAGATGTTCCATAATTTTGTTTGCAGAATACAGAGGAATCCCGGACAGTTACTACGGTAATCGTCATTGCTGATGTTTCCATGTTCTCACATGAAAACGTAATATATATTTCTGAGTATATATATAATATATATAAATTATATACAGGATGATTCCCCCCCACGCGAGCCTAACGATTGGATTATCTAAAAATTTTTCGCTTGGCATGTATAAAGTATACGTATAAAGAAATATATAATACAAAAATATATAAATATATATATATATATATATATATATATATATATATAATTATACTATATCATAATATAATTATGTATTGTCAGTTATATGCAATTAATTTATCAATGATAAATTATAATCGCGTACAATTCCTCTTCTATTTATAAAAATCTCATATCAATATCCAGTTAGAACCACAACGTTGATTCGACGTCGATGAGGGTTGAATTAACGTTGACTCAACGTTTCACCCATTTCAACGTCGAATCAACGTTACGGTTCTGACTGGGTATATTATATTATATTATTTATCTTAATATTCAATCCTTGTCAATTTTAGATACTCGAGGGACAACGCAGCACCGTTACTGCTGTACCCGCTAAGCGGATGCATCGGCAAGTGTCGGCACTGCGGCGACGAGATGACGTTCGAGCTGCAAGTACTGCCGACGATCATACCGAAGTTGACGTTGCATCCGCGCAGCGAACGGAATTTCCAGATCGAGTTCGGCACCGTTTTGATATACACCTGCGTGAGAAGCTGCTGGTCCGCGACCGACTCTTACCGGGAGGAGCATGTCGTCGTTCAGGCGGAGAGATTATAGTCGTTAAGGTACTAACTACTAAGGGAAGATTACGAGTGAAGCCAAGGTTCTTCCAGTGATCCTATAGAGTTTCGTATTACACGCGTCTAGGACGACTAGTCATGTTACGTCAGTAGAGAAATACCGTCCACCACCTGTTCGTGTAATACATCAGAAGTCTCCTAAGTAGCGAGCGACGACCACGTTGAGAAATAGCCGAACAAAGCGGATCAATCGGAAGCGGACGTATGGGTGAGTGGATAGATGGATGGATGGATGGATGGATGGGTAAGTGGATAGGTGGGTGATGACGAAGTCGAGATGCGCGAGGAACGAACACGAAGAGCGGTATTCATAGTCTGCTTTGTGTTTTGCAACACTCAAGTTTATTCGATTATTTATTAATTATTATTATCGTCTTCAGTTTATTTTAAGATATTGCACGAGCCGTTTCATTGGCTCTCTACGAAGTGTCCGAAGGTGAAGCTAAGACGTTATTTAGATAAATAAATGTATAAAATCTGACTATGCGAATACCACCTCAAGTATGTCATACGAATGTGATTTGATGACATTGTCTGTGAACGCGGAGTATTCGAAACCGTCAAAAATATGCTAGACTTTAAATGAACGAGGTATACTTAAAGTACGTATTAAGCGTTTATTCGATACATCGAAAGGGGTGCTCGACATGTAGCGAATCGGATTCAAAAACCTGCCAGTTCTTCCCTTTACTTTCGGCTTCGCTTCCCTTGTCGGAGAGGACGCGCTCACTTCGTCCGGTTATTTCTCACGTCCACGACGACGATGGCGGCGGCGGCGGCGGCAACGACGTAGCGAAAGAGTCACAAGCATGCACTTTTCGAGTTATACTTGTCGAGCGTTATGCGAAGAATCTAGGGATGCCCGTGATAGAAGAGTCTGATTAAGAGCATTTATTTTACTTTTCGACTCGATCTTAGTACGTAAGGTATGACTGTACAATTGCTACTGGCGTATAAATACACAGAAGAGCTCGATGGAACGTGTGTGTGTGTGTGTGTATATTTGTTCCCGCTCTTCCTTCCAGGTGCGAATTATTTACAATACGTGTCTTTACAATGCAGTCACGACGATCATGTAAACTACGAGATAAAAAAGGATATTTTACAGACACATCGAATTGGACGCATATTTGGGCGTTAATCGTACTCTATCTGATTCCAACTGCCGTTGCTCTTACATGAACGCACAACGTTGCTCCATCCTAAAAATCAAGAAGCACCGTTTGAAAGGAGGTAACAACCTTCGTCCAGGATACAATCCCGGTGCGTCGAGTTGACTTTCGCTATTAAATACGTGCCTCACACACCGGAACAAAAGCTTCAGGCAAGCCTTTCTGTTCATCTTCTCGTAGTTTTCACAGGCACGAAGTTCGTATCTTTACAATGTCTCAATTCGAAAGTCCTAGAAACACCTAGTAAGTTCTTTTGAGCGGATGCTCGGCGAAGTAGTCCTTCTTGCTGTATATGAGATTGGCGATGTCCTGGAACAGCCTGTCGCCGTTACTCCAGCTGCCCTTTAGGATCTCGTCCGTGAGCATGGTTACTCTCCCCAAGCAGAATATCGCGAAGCTGTTGGCCACGTGTCGCTCTTGTTCGGCGTTCCTCAGGCCGATGCAGTAGGCTCGGGAGGTACGTGAGAGAACGGATATTAGAGCGAACGTCCTCGTCGCCAGGTCGCTCAGCCGGCCCAGCTCCATTTGCTGGTCGGATATGTCCTGGCCGTGGCGTTCCAGCAAGAGAATCGCGACGTCCGCCAGCTTGCTGATGCAGGTGTCTAATATGGGGTCAGTTGGCGCCAACGACGGATGCATGTGCTCGGCGCCTCCGACTTTCCGGACGGGGGTGTAACCAAACATCCACTTGACGATATATTTAGGATACATGAAGGGGTTTCGCAGCTTGTGTATGTGCTTGTACATGTTTTTACCGGTATGCTGGAGACCCAACAACGACACGTACACGTTGGAATCGATGTTGTAACTGTCGTAGAGCGTGTACGATAACGCGTCCTCGAGGATTTGCATGTAGGGGTTCCCCCGGATGTAACTTTGCGCCCCGATAACGTGCAGGCCTTCGTGGATGCAAGCGATGCACTCGTTCGCGCAGTACACCTCCACCATGGCTTTCTCCAGCGCGCAGTCCTGCTTGTCGAAAGTGTCCATCATGCCGGTGGTCATGTAGAGAATGCTCTCCATTCCGTACAGCCTGGTGGCGATCTTGCCTATTGCCTGCTGAATCAGCTCGTACTCGTGCAGATCTCGGTCCAAGTGTTTCCTCTGCAATATGTTCTTGACCAGCAGCTTTATGAAATTTTTCAAGATACCAATCGTCTGTGGAGCGATCTGCCTGTTGCCCGGTGCTATCAAGTCGATTAGCACATCCATTCCGGATCCTATCTTGCCGAGGAGGTTCTCCTTAGGAACCTTGATGTCGTTGAAGGTGATCGTACTTATCGAAGTACCCTGTTGCCCGACCAAAATGCTGACATCCCGCACAGTGATTCGAACGTTACTTTCCACCAGAAACACAGACAAGACGTTATCTACGGCGGTAGACGCCCGGCCGAGGCCGCACTGGGCGAAGATGATGAAGAGATTGGCGTCTTGTCCGTTCGTCACGAAGGTCTTCTCGCCGCTCAGCAGCCAATGCATGTTGTCATCCAAAGATACGGCTCTGGTCTCGATGTTTTGCGGGTTGAAGCCATTGGCTTCGGTGAAGCACACCGTGGGCACCACCTCGCCGCTCACTATCCTCGGCAAGTACTTGGCCTTCTGTGCGTCCGAGCCCAACATGTTGATCAGCTGAATCGGCATGATGTAATTCTTCACGAAGTACGAGCCTAACCAGGGCAAGCTGCTGAGCACCTCCAGCAGCTTCGCCAATTCCGTATGATTCAGGTTCAAGCCATTGTAATCTTCGCTCACGTACGCCCGGAAGAGACCCAGATTCTTCAGCTCAGAGAGTATCTCGTTCCGCTCGATATCCTCTGGGTTCGCCAGACATTCGGATATGCAGTTCTCGATCGGCTTCAGCCACTCGAAGAACTCATTGTATCTGTCCTTGGTTTGCGGCTCAGGGTAGTACATGAATTCGTGGTCAAGCGCGCCTAGAAACAGGTTCTTCGCGAACGGCTGCCGCTGCGGCTGCTTCTTCAGGGCCTCCGGCAGCCGCTTAGGCTCCAGGTTCAGACTTCCAACCGAAAATGTCTCGGGTATTTGATTCGCGGTGCTTTGCGTGTGCCGCACTACCGTCCGGTACTTGCACGAGACTTGCCACAGTTGTTTCTGACAGAACAATCGACGAGCCAGCATCATTGTCACGCTGGGCAGAACAATTCGTCAACAACAACTTCACACAGAACCTGAACACAGACCTGAGCAGTGAAGAACGGCACGCGGAGAGCTTGTGTGTATCACATGTATCATGTATGTGGTCTGTTCTTTTCAGCTGCACTGCGGAACTAGTGCAATAAGTTAGAATGAGACAACTATATTTCTTCTCACTTTAACTTATTGCACCAGTTTAGTAGTGCAGCTAAAAAGAACAGACCACTAGTGTCTCGCACGAGGGAGATCTGCTCTTTTGCACTTGCGCTCTCTGCACCGAAGACGCAGAAGTATCGATGGCAGTATCGATAAATTATCGATAGTTGGCAGTATCGATAACAATCGATTTGTTTTGAAGAAATTTTTCAGAGTTGCATAGTTCGATAGTACTCGTCGAGTCACGTAAAATGGCGCATTCTTCCTTCCATTGAAAATGCCCCGAGGTAATTGTCTCTCAGTTTTACAGCGATACCTCGAAGAAATCAGGATTTTGTGAGCTCTCATACCTAACAGTACCTGTAAAATTACATAAAATGGCCCGTGAATTACGTAAAAATCGAATTTTTCTTCCCACCGAAAGTGACCGTAATAATTGATTTTTAGCATTTACTTATATAGATGTCTATTTTTAGGCACTTCCGGTGGAGGGAAAAATATAAAGATAATGTCATCTTCTGTAATTCAACAAATATAATTGAACGCGATTCTGAAGATTCATAAGAACGTTTGGTTCAGATTTCAATTAAATTTTATGGAAGTCGGTAAGTTGTGGCTCGTGTCTTGGCTAAAATCAATTTTTTAACAAAGATACGGATCGCAACTTACCGACTGCCATAAAATGCAGCCAAGCTAAATCAGGTGTTTTCCTTAGAATTGCATGCCATAGTAATTATATTATTATGTATGTTATGTTAAATTTATTTATATTAAATTCAGAATGTTCTTCAGGATGTGTGTTTATTGTCGAGATATATTAAGTTTAACGAGAATTGGTTAGGTTAGGTTAGGTTAGGAGAACTGGTGTCTATTCGATATTTAAATTGATCTTTCAGTTAAGCTTTTACGTCGAAATTTAATTTTATCAGAAATATGACATATGCATTTTAAGGACAAAACTTTCTTCAGAAATTTCTTATTTATTGAGTGGCGAGTATAATACACATCGTTACATCGTTTTGCTTCAACAATCAGACAGCAGCTTCGCTTCGCGCTCCGTCTGTTTTTACAATTTTTTCGATATTCACGATATTTCCCCGCGGTTTGTAACCTCTGCAACGTCATGCAAGAGATGTAATCAGACGATAACTAAATGAACATTTTCTTCTCATCTTTTTATATCAATAGCTTACATATGCATTAACGTTTCGTCTCACAAGTGAACGTAAGAAAGATCGTTAAAAGATCTTTATAGATCTCGAAGGGCGAGATCTCGCTGAATCAGGAAGTGGCAGAAGAGATTCAAGTAACTTGGAAATTCTAAATATGTCAATTATCCTGAATATTCTTAAATATCCTCCAACAGTTTTAACCTCCCGAATTTTTTCCGGATATAATTCCTTCCTGTAATTTTCTAAGTATTCCAAGCTTTCTCATCTCATTCGCATCATTTAATTCGATTCAATTAGAAATATCCGTACACGTTTTTAATTCAATCGTTTCTCGTTCAAAGGAATAGGATGCAGTTGGGAGGATGCGCTGGAAGGAATCGCTGCTGTTGATACTGCTGTCGCTCGCGTTCGCCTCACGCGGATGCGATTTCGGCAAGCGCAGAATGCACACGCATCGAAAAAGCAACGGCGACGGCGACAGGTGCACTTGCGCAATCCCAACAATCCGCTACATTTCCTCGGCGGAATCGAACCGTACGGTCGATCCTCACTGCGAGTGCGACTCCTCCACCTTCGTAGTGATGCGGAAGATACCATATGGCGGCCTCGAGAATAATGGAGGCGGCATTATTCACGTGGACTTAATGTCCGCATGCATCAGATGTAGCATGTGCTCGGCCGTGGCCGACGAGGTCGGTACTGCGACGCGAAAATCGATTGTTATACATTTTTACGCTTATTATCATATTGTGCCTTCGATATTCATCGATATGCAACAGATGTAGATGTGAGCTCGTGTTTATGAAACAATATTCGACAGTATGCGGCTGACCTTCAGCGAGCGAATTCGTTTTCGAGTAATTGTTAGACGTTAAATACGACAGGTTTCTCATTAGACGGCAAGTATGTTCGCAGGAAGAATTAAACCATCTTGCAAACGAGTGTACATTGGACGGAAATTAACTGAGATTATGCGGATATTATGTGAATTTTGTCGCACAAATTGCAATTGCGAGTCGTATGAATAACGATCGAGTCAGGTCGACACAGTAGTTAATGAAACTGAGATATAATTGTATGTGTGATATAGATGTTTCTTTTTCAGTTGTTGAAAAGTTCATTCGACTGCATTAATTAGCGCATACTCTATCTCCGTTTGAAGAATTAAATAAATCGGACGAATTAAAGCTTAAGCTTGTTTTACGCGGACTAGAGATTTAAGAAACATTTAGGATTTTACTGACGAAATTCGAGCAGCTGATTTGCTTCGATGGATCCTTCTTTTCATTAATTACTACAAATATATGCACCTGGTTTTTGCAGATTAGCGAAACTCTATTCGAGATTCACGATACGATGGCACCGGGCGACTGGCTGACCGACGCGCAAGCCGTTCTCCTCTTGAGAAGCATCTGCGATCAGTCCTTCCGACAGTATCGTATCCTTTTAGCGTGACTTTCTTTACACGGGATGCGCTTACGAGTACAGCCATGCTTACATAATTCTCTCGTAGCTACGGCCTGCGAGAGATCGACGACGAGAGATTTATTTCCGACCCGTTGCCCGGCGACAGGCTTGTCACCTCGTCCGCTGATGGATTGTGGGAAAAGAGGTGAGACCAACGGGTGTGCACTGAGAAAAAATTGTATTAAAATTAAATAAATATTTGTTCGAATATGACTGTGAATACACTTATTTAAATTAAGCAATTATTTTCTAAAATTCAAGAAAAAAGTTTACATTCAGAACCTCCGTATTTCATTTTAGAAATTAGTCGCTTAATTTGAATAAATATATTCACAGTCGCATTCGAACAAATATTTGTTTAATTTTAATATAATTTTTTCTCAGTGTGTGTGTATGTGTGTATGTGTTTACAACAAGTTTATCATAAAATATTTATCGAAGACACATTTATTATACGATTTATTATATCTTTGCAAGGCGATCACTGCAGTTCATAAGATCCTCGCTTACAAAATGCCGAAGGAGTATTAAATCTTCTTGTTAAAAAAAAGGGGGGAGACATATTTATTACACGATTTTATTACATCTTTGCAAGGCGATTATTGCAGCTCATAAGGTCCTCGATTACAAAATGCCGAAGGAGAATCAAATCAGCCTTCTTGTTAAAAAAAAGGGAAAGGGAATTCGAAAACATTTTGTCAGATTTCTGCAGACTACCACATCGCCTTGCAAGATGAATCTTCCCCGAAACTAATTCGCGGTGCTCTAATTACGACGTTTCTGGTAGCTTGAGAAGCATGTGCCACGAATATCTCGACGAGATACAAGAGCTTCAACTCTACAGAAAGTGGATGGAATGGTGCGAGGACGACGAGCACTTGTCCAGCCTGGAAGATGTCCTTTGCAGGTAAACTCCTGTTCCCCGATCGAATTCGTCCTTCGTCGAAACTTCGACCGTCTCGTTCCTTCTCAACCGAAATCGCGAGAGATTCACTGTAGTGTTACATATTTGTCGCAGGAACGAGATCAGCAGCTTGCGAGATTGCAGAGGAATGGGCAATGTGTACAAACAGTACGTGCCTACAAAGGACTACAGCGCTTACGTCAAGGTCCTGGCAGAGTCTCACAATTGCGGCTAACTGTGATCTTGACCTTACGAAAGACGTCATATTAATCTGATTTCTTATTCTTTATTATTTATTGTAGCGATTATTGATTATTATTATCATCATATAAGCGCAATCATATTAATATTATTATTTATATAAATTATATTGCATATTATTATTATTACGACATCTCATTACCATAATTTATTACTATACTTTATTGTTATCATTCGACAGCATCTCATTATTTAAATTAATTTAATTTATTATTATACACACACATATACATACTTATCGGTTACACGGCTCTGGTAAACCTCGTTCGCGACGAGTCGAAATCCACCGCGAAAGTCGCGACGACGGTTACGCGACGTGTGTGTGTAACGAGCCGACGAACCACACGGAAGCGTAAATATTGTGTCGCAAGCAGCCAAGGTCGCGATTGCGTTAATGTATACATTCGATGTCAGGATTCGTGAAACAGCCACAACAACGAACGACCGAGCGTTTAATTGCGGAACGGGAAGAGGTCCTGTGCGGCGGCCTCGGTGTTCAAGGTCCTGTCGCCCGGCTTGACCTTCCGTCTGGACAAGTCCGAGAGGGAGGCCCGGCCGGCCCTCTTGGACCGTCGTCGCACTTGGAAACGCGAGGGGTCGGCCCTCGAGTTCTTCGGTCTCTCCGGACTGTCGTCGGACTGGCCCTTCGCGAAGCCGACGAAAGCCACCTGGTGCGCTTGCTTTCGCAACGCGGCTAGGTAAGCTGGGTCGCTCTTGCCTGCCGCGTGTTCAACAGGAGAGACGTGATCCTCGCGAGGATCGGGGCGAGGATTCGTACGAGGATCCACCCGGTGATGTCGGTCGCGAACGGGTGATGGACGGTGATGATGATGGTGGTGCTGATGGAAGTGAAGGTGCGATATAAGGTGGTGCTGGCGGATGCTGCGCACGATTGTCTCCCTCATCTGCCTGCGCTTGTTCCACATCCGCTCGAGGATGCCGAAGGTGAGCGCCATGAGGAGGCCCGCCGTAAGGACGAAGAAGGCCGAGTAGACGTCGGCGAGCCGCGCGCTGTTGAAGGTCGTCAGCACCGCGCAGTGCGGCATCGGCGGCAGCATCTGTTGCGCTATCCTGTCCAGGACGCCGTGCTCGTATATGCGCAGTATGCTGCGAACAATACGCGGAAGCGTGCAGGACTGTTATTGTAAATATTATTTTGCCGTCGCAATACAGCTAGTTGTTGAGGGAAGAACAAGTATAAAATTGACCGACGAAGGCCGACAGCCAATTTTGGCGCGGAAGTCGTTCTAATTAAAATTAGCACAAAATTCTATATATATATATATTTCATGTAAATCATGTGAAATCGTCCATGTTAATGTTATTTTTAATGTTTGCGGCAGCTCATGATTTTTAGTGGAACTGTTGTTTTGCTTCTTGCTTTCCTTCCATTTAAGATTATTTTCTTTTTTTTCTTTTCGTGAATTTTTCTTTTTTTCTTTCTATGAGTATAAATTATGTTTAATCACACCATCTAGAGACAAGATTTATATATGAGTTATTAGGAGGAAATCAACTGTTGCTTCTTCTTATTTTCAATAAGTTCCTACGTTCGTCATTCCATGTACGCACTTGAGGTTGATGATTTTCTTGTACGGGCAACTGTTGGCCATAGGAAGAGCGACTAACGTGAAGGTTTGCGGCAACGACAACTCCTTCAGGGTACATCGCTCCTGTATCAGGGTGGTCTCAAGGGCGCGTCGCGCCAGAGTCGCGCTCACGAAGAATCCGTAGCGACTATGAACAGCTTTCATGAGGCCGGTCGTCGTCTCCAGGCGAGACTCGCGGCTGTTGAACGCCTTTATGTACAGTTGACGCAGATGACTGTCGTTTACGTTCTGAAAGAAATACGCGAACATAACATAAGTAACCTTCAGGGAGAGATCAACTTTTTTCCTTCTTCCAGTGCACGGCTGCAGATTTGCTAAACTAGTTGCAACAGCGAATCTGTTCTTTCTTGTCGGTCATTATAGATTTTGGTCCGCCGGACGCTTGTTCGACGACACGAAAGACGTGGAAGCTACAAAATGCGGTGAGATATGACGGTGAGAATGATAAAACGATAAATGACGAGAATTTCTCGTACTCTTATGTACTCGTCGTCGGCGACGCTGTAGCCCAGCCTGAAGTTATTAAAGAGCAGGTCGGTGATCGATTTGATCCCACTGGCCTGCACCGACAATATGGACGTAATGAATCCGGCGTAGGCGTTGTACATGACGAGCGTGAACATCAGATTGAACAGCATCAGGGTCTTGCCGGACGGAGTTCGCGGTATCCACGGTGACCCTGCAAGTTGCATCTCACGATCTAGCTGAACAGTCATGAAATTAAAGTATTCACCGCAACTCGATTTGCATACTTCGGAGACAATTCCTCAGAGATTTTTAAGTCTCTCGCGTTATTATTAATATAAAAAATTATTTGAAATTTGAAAATAATGAAATTGACAAGTCAGACCTTGTCTTCTCGCGAAAGCACGTCTGTTTTCTTAGGATTCTGTTTTTATTAATAAATAAGATCAATTGAGACTTGTGACCACAGCAACGCGGACGTAAAGCTCGCGAAAGTACAACGTCCTTTCCAACATCGTTTCATTGTTACTAGAAAACAATAAGATTAATTCAGGCTTATGATCGACTACGTGCAGTTGCGTTTGCTCGCACTCTTTGGGGCAATCTTTGGGAATCGTTGCAAGCGATTAGTAGACGTTTAGCGTTAATGGGTATTTAGTCCGAGAGGTAACGAGCGACCCGCGATTTTAATTAACGAGCGCAAGAGAAACCTTGCATGCACATGATACTGATGCACCAGAGCGCGGCCTCCCCGATACCGACGTGCTTCTCGTCCTCGTTGTGCAGCACCGTCTTGGCGGCGTAAATCACCGTCGCCATCGCGATCAGCAGCATGAGGTACGTCGCGGCGACACAGCCGAGGAGTCGGTTGTTGAACGGCTGCAGGAATATGTCCCTCATCGTGCCGGACTCCAGCGGATGATAATAGATGTTCCTCCTGTGCACGCAGAATATTCGGTGAACCGCGAAAACGCATATTTCGCTAGGATATCCTAATATTCGTGAATATTAATCTTTAGAGGACTGGCTTTTTTCCTTTAAAATTTGCAATTTTTTTCGCGGAAAATTTATATATATATATATATATATATGTGCGTAATCATCATGTCGCGTAGAGTTTTCGAATTTGTTAGTGGCTCCTATAGGAACCACCGCGGTCCAGAACGGGATGGCTAAAATAAAAAATCTTCAAAAGAGGACACAACAACCGTACAAAGAGGACAAACAAACGTACGTTGCATAAAAATCTACAAGGAAGGATGGGACATGAGATGGGTTGAGTAGGCAGTTGCTCGATCGGTTCATTGATTTGTCACAGAAGGGCCGGTATTCATAGTCAGGTCTTATATTTAAGACCGTCTTAAGTTCACTTTCAGATATTCAATAGCCAATAAAATAATTTGTACAGCATCTGAAGGTGAACTTAAGACGGTCTTAAATATAAAATCCGACTATGAATACCGGCCAAGGTGGTTCTTACTGACATGTAACGTATCAGAGGGTGACTGAACGCCATCTCCCCTAGACGCTCCTCGCTGATGGTGATGTAGCCCAGACCAATGTCGACGGTACCCGAGACGACGTCGCCGAGAAGGTGGCTCCATACTTTGTTGGTTAATATACCGAGCTTCTCGTACGGCACCAATTCGATGCTGCGGAGAGATCGAGAGAGATTCAAAGAGAGAGGGGGAAGAGGAGAGGTTTTTCTATGCGGATTCAATTTTAGAAATTTCGTTTCGGAATACGTCCGCCGGCATTATCGTTCTTAAGATATTTGCTGATCAAGGATCACAACATCTTATAAAATCGAGAGTCTTGGATTTAATAGACAAAAAATGCGCACTAGTCTCGGATACGTAGAAAGTTGTGAAAATAATGAATAACGCGGGTAATGACAAAATTATTACAACAACAAGTGTACATTGTATCGAGAGATACAAATAAATTTATCTTAGAGTGGGAACAATGATTCTTCCAGAAAGATATCCACAACTACGCAGCGTTCGCAAACTTCCAAGTTCCAAGAAGACAGTCCAAGAGCACAGGTTCGGTGAAGATCAGTTATACCTAGCGTTCACATTATTGGCGATGAAAGAGGCCAAATCTAAAAGCGGCGCGATGTCATTTGCTTCCGCCTCTATGAGGTCCGTTTGCCCATCGTTAGTGCCGTTCAACACGCCGAAGACTATGGGAAGGCCGTTGAAGTCGTCTCTCAGTTTCACGCTGACCGGCAGCTTGAGGGTGTGAGCTCCCGGATTCCAGAAGCCGAGGTACCGTGTGACGAGACTCGTGTTGTCGGAGTTGCGTATCTTGTACGTGTGTACCATGTAAAAAGACACCGTGCGGTTCTCCAAGATAACATAGCTCAGATTGCTCGTGGCATTTTCGGCGCTGCGTCGCTCTGGCGGCCCCAGGAACACGAAGCGATTACCGTAACGCCGAAAAGATAGACACGTCCTGAGAAAATCATTTAATCGTTGTAATATTGCACCGGTCGACGCTGTTGATGTATTCACAATATTCGTGAACAAAGAAACGATATTGCGAAATAAATTGGTGCTAAAGGCAACTTGCGTTTTATTCATACATCTCTTGCGAGAGAAGGGAACAACGAAAGATAAACTGTAAAAAATGTACAGTTTGCAGGATCGTTCCCTGGACAAAAATGCAAAGGATAATTTCTATCATCTCTTTATAATTATTTACAGCATACAATAGCCCGAAAAGTTCTAACACTAAAATCCTGAAAAATATAGCAGCCTGATCCGATTTTTTTTCAAAGTATATGTAGAAAATAGAAAATAGAAGAATTGTGTGAATTCTTTTTTTAATTTTTTTGTTTTAAGACAAATCGGGAAATAAAGATTTGTAAGAAAGTTTTAGTGAGTACAAGATAAGAACGTTGAAAATTGGTAACTCACTTGTTTAAATATTTCTGTGCATATTTCCAAGCTGTTGCGTCATTTTCCAATGGCGAAGTGGCGACGACCACGTCGCTGTCGATGCCGATATTCAAATCCCGAAGAACTGTGTCAATGATGGAGTCGGAGTCTCTGGTAGTCACCAGAAACCAGGAGACGTAATAGTTAAATAACAACTTTTGGGAAGCCTGTTGAGACATAATCGTTAACCGATGACGATTACATTGACTTTACTTTGGCATTCGTGAGTAAAAAGAAATTGGACCATAAGTGAAAAATTAAAATCCCATAGCTATTGAATATCGAATTATTAAATGTACAAATATAGAATTCTTTTCTTAAAATTTGCAATTTTTTTACTTTTTCCTGTATAGATAGAATTAATACATTGTCTTCCTCGATGCTTTAAGTTATGTTTTAAGAATAAACATTGCGACAAGTTTTTCAAATTTGCTCTTTGTATATTCAACAAACTATAATATTTGATGTCTTCTTTCTCTCTCTCTCTTTCGCTACTAATTACTGCATTCTGTAGAGTGATTTGCACATTTATATATTTTGTCTGTATGTAGAAATTTAAATTATACAAATTTAAATTTAAATATTTAAATTATATATTTAAGTAAATATATTTAAATAAAGTCATCGAGCTACATAAACGGAATCTGTTAAATTAAACAGCAAAAAATAACTGTAAGTAAGGAGATAAGTTGATAACAATAGCATATGTGTTGAGTATACACCGAAAAAAAATTTTAAAGCCCATATGTATGCTTCCGCAGTTCATCTAAGCTATGGATGTATAAATTTGCAAAAATTCCATGACATTTAAGAAGCTAACAAAGTCGCACACGCGGCTTCAATATTAGTTTTAGAAAAAGAAATAGATTATATATTTTACAAGGTTACCCTCCGAACAACGGTTGAGTTGTCGTAAAACAATACAAAAGTTCGTGAAAATAATATAGTAGTCGGGTCCGAGGTTATGAGTTTAAGTATGAATGCGATAATAAATGCTGTAATTAATTTATAGAGTTCATCAGAACTTCTTGGCAGAAAGAACGCGGACAAAGAGCGGAGATATGATCAGAATTATCAATGCTTTATATCGCAAGATCGTTTAATAATATTGCCTCGTATAGAATTAAGTGAGCCACAGAAAATTCGTTTCATCATAGCTACATGTATTAATATTATTGTCCGAGTTGATTAGCATTATTACGCACTTAGGAATTATCTCGCTCGGAAATTGAAGTCCTCCATTTCTATGACGCGATACACTCGTGTCCAACACGATTTATAATGTTTACAAGATTACAGACATACGTGAAAAAAATCGGGGGAGCATTGCAGGTGATATTTTGCGGTGATAAAAAAGTCTTGGATCGATCGAAACAATTGATTTCCCTATCTCTCTTCTTTTCCTTTTTTTTTTAGAAAACGCGCATCGTCGCGTGTCCTCGCGATCCTCAATTTCGGCGAATTGCTATCGGGCAGTTTGTATTCCTAACGCTGAAAAATCATACCATTTGAATAACGTTATCGGGTGACGTCAGATTAAGTTCGTCCAGCAGTACGATCGATCCGACACGGTGCGTCCGGACGATGAGCGATTCTGGTATATTTGGGTTCATCGCTGATTGCAACGACACGCTGATACCTTTCTCACCTAGGCACTCAATCAACGGCCGGGCGTAATTAAGCGCGCAATCTGTATTCATTTCCAATAGATTATCATCGGGTCGGTCTCGAAAAATTCGATGCGACTTTCCGCGTACTTATGCGATTACGTAAAATTATACATGCGAAAAAGATTTGTAGAAAGGCCTTTCACGTGTCTCCTCAAATTCTTTTGATGTTTTACTAATTCGCAAAAAAAAAGTAAAATTTAATAAAATAATGCGTATTTCATTTTTCAAAGCACTTGGACAGGTCCGAAAATTACCTGACGCAAGCAACTTTACATATTATTTGGTTTGTAAATTTTTAGCAGCTTTGCAGACAATGATACTCACTGAACGGACTGACGTTACCGAAGAGGACCACTTGGGTCCAGAGTCGCCATTCCGCATACTCCAATATCAATTGCAGCGTCAATGGTGACGGCAAAATGCAGGTCTTGGCGGGCACGTGGAACGCCAGTAACACCATTAGGGTTGGGTAATGTCCAAACATTACTTTATCACATGTAACCGACGACATCATCATATCTCCTAACTTGAGAGAACAGTCACCAAGGGTATGAATGTTATCAACGAGTTTTAAAAATTATGTCAAATTACACAGACGCCGAGCGTTATAAAGCAGTATAAATATTTTTATATAAACATATAGCACCTCACACACACACACACACTACAAAGCAAAATAAAAGCAAAACATATGTTGAAATTTGTAAAAAATCGACTCATTGGAGTATGTAACATCTTTAATTCACTCATTATATTTTCCGGAAATAAATGTGCATGCATGTTCTTATCAAGATGATAATATAAAATCTAATTGTTAGTCATCAAGGTCACTGGTGATTTATGGCATTGCAACTGCATATGTATTAATATATGTAATAATTATGCACCAATCGATTATTTTACGGAATATTTCAAAATATCTTTTTTTACAAGAAACATCAGTTACATATTATATAATATTAAAATTATTATATATATTTTATTTTAAATACATCAAAATCTTTGTAATGTCAAGAAACCGAACTGCTGAATGATAAACCCAGCGTGGACGATTTTAATCGATTAAAAGAAATTAAGTAGAAATATATTTCTGTGAAAATTTCATCGGAAAATTCATCCCGCTCGTAAGTAGTTCCTTCCTTATGTTGCTTGCGACAAGTGATAAGATAACGGCTCATCGCGAATCACCATTAATACTACTGATATTATTTCGACATTAAGATCGAACTAAGTTACGTTGGCTAAGTCTCGTTCTATTAACGAACAATCGCCAGAACGCAAGCTTCGCGTGTGACTACGATGACGGTGGAGGGTCAACATATTCGTCGAAGTTCATCACATTCTTAATTTATCGCTCGCACGGCCTGTCGATATATCAATGTCGACAATGCGGTGAACTTTCGACGATGAGAAGAAGAAAAGGTTGACGTTGACGGGCACAACGATGGAAGGAACGAAAATAACAGGCAGTCATGTTACTCACTGCCACTATCGATCGTTTCTTCGCAAGGCAGTCTTCTCGATGCGATGTGAAGATTCCACCAGGTTCCACCGATCTCCGGTTTGTTTTCACACGGCCGACTGCCGACGGTTTCAACATGGCAAGCCGTTTCGGCTCGTCGTTGATGTCACCGAAGATAGAGATCGGGACAGATCCTTATCTGGAGGCAAATTAATCGTGCATGAAGTGCGTACTCGCGCATTGTGGTTATTAATCTAATGGCTCCGTAGGGGGAAATGAGAACAAAGTAGAAATGTGTGGATAAATGATCCCAAACTGAGCCGAACACGCTGCCCAACGAACATTCTATTAATATTTCCAAGCCAGATACCGGAGATTGCTCGTGAAAAAAATAGGTTTCTTTCTTGTATAGAAATTTACTTGATGATTTTCGCTCTCTCTTTTCTTCTCTTTCGTCATCGGTATGTGAGCGTAAATTTTCTTTAATATAACTTGACTTTTTCAATGGATACGCGTTGTCTCGAACAAAGAAATGTATCGAAATGTAAAAGTAGGGAAAATTCTCTTGAAAAATTTTTAATACCAAAATCTGAATACTGAGACAATTCTTTGAAATACAATTTTATCGGGATATTGAAATTTTCTCGTAAATTCTTGTAAACTTTTAAATTCTGAATTATTATTGTTACTATTGTTATTATTTTATTAATCTTTATTTTTCTGAATTTTCGAGCGAGATCTCACTCGAAGCGATAATAAAAATATTTCCACTTGGTACTATTGTAAGAATAAATGAAATAATATCACTTGAAGATTCGAAGCGAAAGAATTCACTCTATATGAATTAAAATATTAAAAAGTCACTCGACTTGGAATGACTCTGTTGTGAATCTACTTTCTGAAAACAGTTTCAGTCAAAGAAGGCCTGAGAGCAATATCAGTGACTCGTGTTGCTTAAGCACTATAATCCAAACATGAATTTCACGAAACGATCATATTTTTCAACGCCTTCAGCGTGCAAGCGTGTTCCTCATATGCCGAATTATATTAATTTACTGTATCATGCACATGGTACATTAATGGCGGTGCAATGCGCTGACGATGCGGTTTACGGAAGCGCGCCAAACCTCGGCCGAAAAAGAAAACGTCGATGCAGTCGACGTAATTCGAACGTGCCGTGAATACCGGTTAAAATTTCAGGAACAAGAGCTCTTTCCATTTCCGTCAGATAAAATCGTCTTGCGCATAAATCGGTACGATATTCTTTCACGGGACAGTCGCTTCTCCTTTTAACAATTAACATTATATACAACAGACGTCTTGTATCTTGATATTTCGTTTGAGTTTTTTTTTTACTGTTTGGTTCGAAGTATTTCCAGTCTGCATTTCGTTTGCAGAAAAGATAATTGTTTACACGTTACATAAAATCTGTAAGAAAATACTATAATTCAGTGATTATACACTTAAATATATATTAATATATAAATAACAGCTCTAAAACATCAAGTGTTATAAAAAAAGAAGAAAAAGAGGAAGAAGAAGAAAAAGAAGAAAAGGAAGAAGAAGAAGAAGAAGAAGAAGAAGAGGAAGAAGAAAAAAAAGAAGAAAGAAGAGAAAAAGTAAGAATGTTAAAAAGAATAATTTATAATTGCTATACAATTAATTATATGAACATTGATTCTTGATGCGCAATTGCGGCAAACTTTTTGTCTCATTCTAATTAAAAAATTAAGCCAAAAAGCAAGTAAAATACCAAGCTGTCACTACTACCTGTGTCTCTCATAGCTATTTTTAAATATTATTTTTTTTCGATTAACATCTTTGCTATCAGCAACATGTGTAATATATCAAAATTTTGAAATTTATTGTGATATATTTATATAATCCAACAGGATCATCCAACAGATAAAAGGTTAATATACGAATATTTGCTACCAGTGTCACACGTATACGTGTGACACTGGAACTTTTTATAACTAGTTGGATTATATAAATATAATGTAATATAATAATAACGTTCTCTTTTATGTACACATAAACAAACCAAAAATTTATTTTACACAATCACATAAAATAGATAAGGTGGAATGTCGGAAGAGTTTCTTGTACAAAACACATAATAACGATCTCGTAAATTAATATTTATGAGGAAACGAATGCATACAACAGGAAATGTTTAGTAACTTTCAATTGAGTGAACGATGAAGCACCGTTATCGATAAGAGCAAGAATATTCTTGTATAATATATAATGGATAGTATAATATATATATATATATATATATATAAAGTGAATTTTAAAATTGATTCGAGCAATTTCCTGTTAAATTTAATATTTTCAAGAGGAAAAAAGTGGCGATCGTCTGCGGTTCTGTTACACAGGCGGTGCAAAACTGAATTCGATTTCCGATTCAACGGACAAGGTGAGCACGGACATGACACCCAACGTTTGGGATTCGAATTTTGAAATACACGACGAGGAAGATTTGCGAAGGAAGCATCATCTTCGGCTCACTTCGGCGACCATAGACAAGAGAAAATGCGAGCAGTACGAACATAAAACTCGTAAAAAAGTTGAAAAATGGTTGGGCTTCGAGTTCAAGTGGTTGAATATTGTGATGTTAACTATTCTTCATTTAGGTACACTCTACAGCTTGTTCACTATAAACATGATTGGAAACATCACGACGTTCTTCTGGAGTGAGTATCCCCTGGAAAACACTCCGAATTTAAATAATTCACTTCTTAATTAATTTATCCCTTCAAAGCATATCTGAATGAAGGATAAAGAGACTTCAATTTCTTGAAAATATTCTTCTTCGCTCGGAGCGATAAAAATGGATTCTTTTTTCACTTAAGAGGACACTCACTTTTCTGTTCAAACTTCTCACTTGTAAATGCAACTTTTTTGTAATTTTTACAAAAACAAACGCGTTTAAACTAATTTGGTTAAAATTTTATCGCACGTTCATGAAGGACGTCGACGTTATATGTGGAGGATTGTTGGAACCGACGGCGACCGTTGATTGGAAGTCGATCGATTGAGCTTACGCAATTGAAACGAAACTTTCGATAAAGACTGATTGACAACAGGCAAGCTCGAGGTCTTCGTTTGCACGATTCCTGTTTTGTTACAAGCGTCGCGTCAATAATACAGCAGCGGCTGGCACGTGCCGTTGAAATAATTCATTCTACGTAGTACGAGAAGCATTTGGTTTCAGTATAGAAATCATTCTAGAAATAACAAACCTAAGCATGGCCTGATGTTTGTCAAAAACTAAAAAAAGAATGTGAAAGAAAAGAATAAAAAATATTACTAATTTATTAATTTCCGTGCATATTTTATGTTCTTTCAATGTCTCTTTAAATTATTTGCACTTATATGTAATACTTATGATTGTACTATTCGACAGCCTTGATTCTACCCTTATTGCTTGTTCTTGTAAATAAAAAAATAGTGTTAAAAAATAGTAGACAAAAGAGTGTTAGTAAAATAAACAAGTTAACAACATTTTGAAATGACAGAATCAATCATTACTATATTGTATGGCTATCGAGAAGTGCAAACGCACACAACAAGAAACACACTTACATGATATTATTTAATCTGATTATTGAATTCGCTTAAAGCGGTCTTCCTGGGTGCAGTGCAAGGGATTGGTGTCACCGCTGGTGTTCATCGTCTTTGGACGCATCGCGCTTACAAAGCAAAATTACCTCTTCGATATCTACTTCTCATTTTTTACACCATAGCTGGCCAGGTAGGAAAATTATCGCTTAATTTATCATCACTAAGGTAGGAAAATATGAGGAGAAAAATCTTCTTGTACGACGTTCTCCTTTCTCAGAACAAGATTAGCGATTGGGTACGAGATCATCGGGTGCATCACAAATACACAGACACGGACGCGGATCCGCACAATAGCAATCGCGGCTTCTTCTTCTCCCACATGGGTTGGCTGATGATAAAAAAGCATCCGGAGGTGATCCAGAAAGGTCGTCAGACGGACATGAGCGATATCCTGGAGGATCCTGTAGTCATATTCGGTGATAAGTAAGTTCACTAGTGTCTAGTAGACAAAAAGTGAGAAGTGAAGTGAAGAAAAGATAAAATTGTCGATCGCCATCCTAAATTCCGTGTGTGAGAAGTAGCAAGATCCGACTGTTGAATTATCGAACTAAATAATTGATCGAATTAACTACTCAGTTATTTTCCTGACCATCAATCGGTTTCTCGGGTATAGAACATTTTTTCGACGTGCGGTGTCAGTGGAACAAAAAGATCGAACATCAGAAAGATTCGCTGATCTAAATAAAATAAGAAGAAAGGATGAAATATATACAAGAGTCAACTTCTAGTCAAGATCTAATTTACAGATATTTATGTTACATTGCACAGACAGGTGTAAGTCACTTTATTATTGAGACGTTCCGACCACAAGTGTATTGTGGTCATCGTCAGCGGAAATGTCAATTACAGTGAATTAATTAATCAAACAATATATTTAGATTAATTATTTTACTACATACATTCTCTGTCGACAGGTACTTCATGGTACTTAAAATGATCTTTTGCTTTGCGATACCGATAATGGTACCGGTTTACGGGTGGAACGAAACTTGGATCCGAGCAATTAGCATACAGGTGTTCTTTCGTTACGTGTTCGGTCTGAATTGCACATGGAGCGTCAATAGCCTGGCTCACATCTGGGGCTCGAAGCCGTACGACATGTAAGTAATTCGTCTACGTTGGTAAGACGCATTGTTTGAAATGAGCAAGAATTAAAGAGCGAGCTTAAAGCCAAGTGTCCGCAGCAGAACGCTGGCAAGATGCATTTACGTGTGCATTTACTACTGTGAGAGCAAGCGACGAAAGAAGCTTTACACAATTCAGAGATAATTTTTGACACATTGACTGCGGACGTATCACACGTGTAAAGGCTGACTATTGTAAAGGCTTACTATTGTTGATACATTGAAATTGACTCAATGTGGGCTAAGTGTAATTATGAAAAGTGTCAGAACAATTTTCTTCAAGAAACATATTCCTGCATCATTTTAACGTTGCGCAAGATCATTCGCTCCGAAAAATAAATTATTTCTGTTTATCAAGAGCGTGTTTTTCTCAAACAACGTCCGCAGGCAAAGCGTTAAAAGAAGTTACTTTTAACAACAGGTACATCAATCCGACTAACAACAGGCTGGTCTCTTTTCTCTCATGTGGTGAGGGCTGGCACAATTACCATCATGTATTCCCGTGGGACTACAAAGCGGCCGAGTTGGGTGATTATATGCTGAACATAACGACGATGTTTATCGACTTCTGCGCGAAAATGGGCTGGGCGTACGACCTAAAGCAGCCGTCACGAGAGCTCGTGATGTCAGTCGTGATGAAGAGAGGCGACGGCAGTCATCACACGTGGGATCCCATGGCGTACCCCAATAGCGAGATCGAGCAATGAAAGGACTATTCAGTCTCGCGAAGAGGCCACAGAGTCTGCAGGAAAAGTTGGACGTTGAAAGTATCACCACGACTGAGAGAGCGAGAGCTTACAGCAGTTACTCGCAATTTTATGTCATGTGAAAAAATACGTTATGTCATATCCGGAGAAAATGCGAAATTAATGAGTGAGGCACCGATGATCGTGATCACGGTGAAAAATCATTAATCGCAGTAAAGTAATAATAACTGTAATAAGATGTAGTTCATATAAAGTATAAATAAATATATGTAAAAGATTGGTTGTACGGACAAGGGAATCAATAGATGTGTAATGTTATTCTCAAAGCAGAAGATAGTGCATAGTTACCGCCATTTTCCGCGATTTTCTTGATTCAAATAAAATAATCTGTGTAACGCTAATAAGTATTAATAAATGACAAGATAGATAAAATAAAACAACGCAAAAATATTATCGTATTAACTTCATATATATTTCAGACGATGCAATAATTAGATTAACACGACTTTATTTGAAACGTGAAAGATACACACTATTATTACCAAGATTTACCATTATTGACTTTACTAATCTGACGGTTATCTGAAGTGTTAAGAATCGTATTGCAATGGACTTTATGTATATTGTATTTTGTGACATGTACCGCAGATGTAACGAATCACATGTTAATCAATTTAATCACATCACGTATTATATCTACAATCGGACTGCGAGCACTGTAAAGAGTCATAAATTATTCCCTCAACGTTGCGACATAAGTCGTTTTTATCAATCAAGTTTATGAGATGCAACTATCAAAATTAATTTATACAATGGATAAAATACGTAACTTTTTTTGAAGAGTTATATCGCGCGTGCGTGAAGTTATAATATTTCTGATTGAGTGATGGAGATGTATGTAAATTAATTTAAAATAATCACAAATATTGATAATATTAATATTTTTATTGTCAATGACGTATTATTCAGCGAATATTTATAAATTAGTATTTATAAATCAATTTATTAATATAAATAGACTATTTATAAATAGTCAGTATCAGGAGCAAAGGGATAAAGGGATAAATCTATATATTTGACATGACATAGTCTTCGTCAATGTCTGTTATCGTATCACTAGCGTGCCACTATTCATTATTTATAAATTTATATCAACGAGTTACATTTTTTAAAATACAGATAGAATAAAGTATCGTTGTTTTAAATATCATCGAGGGTAACACATCGAAATGTTACGTCGACGTAGCAATTAATAAGTATTAGGAGTACAAATAAGTTTCCACCGTTTTCTATAAAAAATTAGAAATTTATTGTGAAAGAACGATACATTACGTTTTATTCAAAGTATTGTCCATCACTAGCCACTACTTTTTCCCATCTTTCTGGCAGTATTCGGATACCACGTCGGAAGAACTCTTCATCTTTTGAGGCTCTCCACGAATCGACCCAATTTTTAGTATCTTCATATGATGTAAAGCGCTGCTTAAACAGGCCATGTGCCATCGACCGGAACAAGTGATAACCGGAGGGGCAATGTCTGGTGAATACGACGGGTGGGGTAGGACTTCCCAATTAAGTGTTTCCAAATAGGTTTTGGCCGGTTTTGCAACATGTAGCCGAGCGTTGTCATGTAGGAGAATAATTTTGTCGTGTCTGGAGTAGTAATGGGCGCGTTTTTCCTTGAGTGCTCGGCTCAAGGAAATCTCATTAATTGTGTTCGGTAGAGAGCTCCAGTAATGGTTTCGCTCGGTTTGAGCCACTCATAATACACGACACCAAGCTGATCCCACCAAATACACAGCATGAGTTTTTTTCCATGAATATTCGGTTTGGTTGTCGATGTTGAAGCATGGCCAGGTAGTCCCCATGATTTTCTCTTCTTTGGGTTATCGTAGTGGATCCATTTTTCATCACCAGTGACTATAGGATGCAAAAAACCCTTTCTTTTATGCCTGGCAAGCAGTATTTCACACGTGCAAAATCGGCGTTCAACGTCTCTCGGCTTCAGTTCGTATGGAACCCAATTTCCTTGTTGTTGAATCATTCCCAACGATTTTAAACGATGTGAAATTGCTTGTTGAGTCACTTCTAATGTAAGTGCAAGTTCTTCTTGCGTTTGGCACGGATCTTCCTCCAATAATGTTTCCAATTCCGTGTCTTCGTACACTTTCGGCCTTCCACTATGTTCTTTGCCTTCCACGTCAAACTCACCGTTTTTAAACTTTTGAAACCACTCATGACAACTTCTCTCACTTAAAGCAGTCTCACCACATGTTTCTATAAGCAATCGATGCGCCTCAGCTGCAGATTTCTTCAAATTAAAGAAGTAAATCAAAAGTTCCCGCAAATGACGCTTATTCGGCACAAAACTTGACATTTTCGCACGAAAAAAATTGTGATGCTGATACGGAGTCACTAATACTTCAAGGTTATGTTATAGATGTCCAAACTTACGATATTACGTTTTACATCTGATAATTTCAACATAACCTTCTGGTGGGGCCATCTTTTGTCGAACGGCGGAAACTTATTTGTACTCCTAATAATATTTTATAATCAAATTTATGAGCTGCGATTATCAATATTAATATGTATGTAAAATGGTTATGATATATAACTTCCCTCTCGGAAAATTTAATACATTCTGAAGTTAAAATTTTAATATAACGTACGTTTCCTGAATGAATAACGAAAATGCAAAAGAGCTAAATCATCATTCATAATTCACGTTAATATCAATAATATTAACATTTTCACGTAGTCACTATCAGGGTTAGAGGAGCAAACCGATATTTTTACTGAGTATATATGCTGGGTGTTTCAGACTACCCGAGTCACCCGATTTTTTCGTTAACGCGACATTTTAGAGAAAAATATTTCAAACAAAAGTTGTAGAGCTTCAAAGGATCCATTTACTAACGCTATGAATTTGGGAGCCCTGAATTTTATTAATTTGATGATTTTGAAATTTGATCTTGGGATAACCTTGAAAAGTCCAGTCAAAATTGACATAAAAATCTTATATGGATATCCCAATTTTTTATTACATCATCTTTTTCTAATAATTAGTTTGAACAACTTTTGTCTGAAACATTTTTTTATTTACCTAATATTTTTTGAGATATTGAAGGAAAACTTGATAACTTTTTGAATATTTAACTCATGATATCTCGCTAACTATTTGTCAGAAGAAAAAATGATATTGAACCTTTTTGCTCTATTTAGTCTCAAGAATATATTGTTCCAATAGCGCTTTGAATTAGGT